CTATTTCCAGAATTCCTTAGGGCAGCACTTTTCTCCCCCTGCTTCACAGAAGTTGTTTCATCCATTTGGTATAGGGTTGGATTCATGTGTCACCTTTTGCATTCGTCCTGGGATCCTAAATAACTTCTCAAATTTGCATACATTAAGATTTATTCTTCGTGCTGTGAAGTTCCGTGAGTTTTGACAAATGCATGGCATCCTGTATCCACTATTACAGTGTCCTGGGAAATCGTTTCACTGCCTTAAAAAAAAAAAAGAATCCTGTGCTCCACCTCCAGCCTCCTCCCACCCGCAGTCCCTGGCACCCATCTGTTCACCGTTTTTCATAATGCCATGTAGTTGGAGTCCTAGAACACGTGGCCTTTTCGGCCGGCTTCTTCCACTTGGAAATATGCACTTAAGATCCAGCCATGCTTTTGCCTGGCCTCATAGCTCCGTCCTTTTTATCGTGGAACGGCCTTCCATCCCACAGCTAGGTCACGGCTGGTTTCTCCAGTCACCTTTCAGAGGACATTTGGGTTGCATCCTGTTTCAGGTGATTTAGGAAGAAAGCTGCTGCAGACGTCTGTGTCATGACTGTCGCGTGGGTGTTTTCAGGTCCGCTGAGTGTGTGCCTGGGAGGGTAATGGCTGGTTCCTGTGTTAAGAGTGTGTTTCGCTGTGTAAGAAACTGGCAGACTGGCTTCCAGAGCAGCCGGACCGTCCCGCACTCCTAGCGAAGTAAACAGGGGCTGCTGTCCTCCACGTCCTCCCCAGCAAGTGGCAGCGCCCCTGTGTTCAGTTGTAGCCATTCTAGTCTGTGTTGTGCTGTCTCACTGTTGTTTTAATTTGGGGTGGCTTCTTTTTGATTCTTGTGTCCTAGATATTAAACCTAGTAGTAATAAACACTTTATTTTTTGTTTATATTATTGAAAGAAGGAGCAACTGAAATAACTTTGTCGGATTACCAAAGGACTTGAGTGTGCACCAGATTCCTAAGCCTCTCCTTGAGAGTGATGTTTCCAGGCCCCGACAACGTATTTCCCACACGTATGCATCAGTTGTGTTTACTGTTAGGAGGGGTTGGTGGTTCTTAGAGAACCTTGAGGCAGAGTATGAGTAAGTTATGGAACAAAGCAAAATCGTCAGCAGTTTCCACCTTGGAGCCCAAGTTCTAGAGCAAGGCCCCCCGCTGGTATACAGGGAATGGGCTACAAGTGGCAAGGACTGTGTTCCCCTTGGCCTGCGCGGTGGAGACGGAGGCTGTAGGCCTTGGACCAGTCATACCACGTGCCATAGAAATAGCATTCTTTCCTGTGCCTGCCACGCTCAGGGAGCTGGGGGTACTGGCCTGGCGTCTGGGGGCTCAGAGCCAGGTTTTTGATACATCCCTAGTTTTTCACTCCATTTTTCCATGGTATGCACAGTTTCTCTTTTCCTGATTCCCTTTTTTTTTTTTTCTTTTTGTATTGTGGTAAAAATACACATAACATTTCCCATCTTAACCATTTTTAAGTGACAGCTCAGTGGCGTTAAGTGCGTTCGCCCTGTTGTGCAGCCGTCACCACCATCTTTCCCCAGAATTCTTCATCCTGTGAAATGGAAACTGTACCTACTTAAACATGAACTCCCGCTCCCCCCAGCCTAGCAAGCACCAGGTCACTGTCTGTCTCCGTGCTCTGGAATCATAGGCACCTGGCTCTGTGGTGCCTTGTTTCACTGCACATAATGTCCTCAAGGTTCATCCATGTTGTGGCAGGAGTCAGAATGCCCTTCATTTTAACGCTGAGTGATCCTCTGCTGTGTGCACGGACTCCACTCTGCTTATCCAGTCAGTGTGCCCGCCTCACCCCCGTCTCCACCGGGTTTTCCTTTTGCCTCCGTTTCCTCGTGCACTTCTGCAGGCACCGTTTGGCGGAGGCCCAGACCGTCCAGGTCCGAATCCTGATTCCTAGTGATTTGAGACTTTGAGTAACCAGTTACATAACCTCTGTGAGCTCCATTCCTCCTCTGTGAAGTGGATCTGGAGTAGTGGTGCTTGTCTCTTAGACTTCTCTTTTCAAGTAATCTCCACGCCCAGCGTGGGGCTCGAGCTCACCAATCTGAGATCAAGTTGTGCACTCCACGGACTGAGCTGGCCAGGTGGCCCCATCTCATAGATGCCCGTTAGAATAAAACAGGGTGGTGTATGGAAATACTTAGCATGTGCCTGGCACCTAACAGGTTTTTTAGGGTTTTGTTTCATTACGTTTTAAGATTTTATTTATTCACTTGAGAGAGACAGCACAAGCAGGGGGAGAGACAAAAGGAGAGGGAGAAGCAGACTCCCTGCTGAGCTGGGAGCCCGATGCGGGGCTCGATCCCAGGACCTGGAGATCATGGCCTGAGCCAAAGACAGATGCTTAACCATCTGAGCCACTCAGGCGCCCCCACATAAGAATTTTTCTACAAATATTAGTTACTAAAATAGGCTCGGGGTGCCTGGCTGGCTCAGTTGGTTGAATGTCGGACTCTTGGTTTTGGTTCAGGTCATGATCTCAGGGCTGTGGGGTTGAGCCCCACTTTGGGCTCCCCACTCAGTGCAGAGTCTGCTTGAGATTCTCTCTCTACCCGCCCCTCAAATAAAGAAATAAACTTTAAAGAATAAAACGTGCTCACTGTACTTTTGAAACTTCTCATTCCTTTCGGCATGAGGTTGCGGAGAAGGAGGAATATCCTAAAGCGGTGAAACCGAGTCTGAGAGACGGTTCCAGCCTCTGCCAGGAGTGCTCTCCAGTGGCCCAGCCTGGGGTGTGAGGGTGAACTGTAGACCGCGCTGTGCCCGGGGCACCCCAGGCCTCCCACCTTGTAGCTGTCTGTCTGGCCCTGTGATGACAGCAGTAGCACAACTCTGGGTCCCTGGGGGCTCTGGGGGGTGCTAGAGCGAGTTCCTGCATATCTGCAGGGAGGAGGCCTGTTGGTGGGCCTGGGGAGCCCACGGTGCCTGCAGGGGGCTGGAGGACAGGACTGCCTCTGTGGGCTCTGGCTCTCCTGTTCCAACTCTCGCCCACTGCCCCTGCTCCCCAGGAGAGGAGAGGAGGAGGGGGAGGAGGAGCTGGGAACAAGTTGTCTTTCTGCTTGGCTTCTGGCCAGCTCAGCTGCACCGTGGGCACCGACAGTCATGCCGGGGAAACATTGGAATTAAGAGATGCACGTGGAGTGTCAACAGAGAAGGTTTCTGGGTCTGTGGGAAGAGCCGGGAAGCTGGCATATTTGTTGTGGGCAGATCCCTCTGCTACATAGTTTTTAAGTCCTGTCGTGAGAGCTTGAGACTTGGGTGGGAGCGTTGTTGGCCTAATGTTAAGTGTTAAAGTGGTGGCTGGGGACATGGCCCTGCCATGGTGAGAGTGACACACATGGGTCGGAGGGGGAGCGACCTCTAAAAAGCAGTGAGGGGGCTGCCTGGGTGGCTCAGTTGGTTAAAACCTCTGCCTTAGGCTCACGTCATGATCCCAAGGTCCTGGGATCAAGCCCCACATCGAGCCCCACATTGGGGAGCCTGCTTCTCCCTCTCTCTCTGCCTGCTTTTCTCCCTACTTGTTATCTTTCTCTCTGTGTCAAAAAACAAATAAAATATTTTTTAAAAAAGACTTTATTTATTTATTTGACAGACAGAGATCACAAGTAGGCAGAGAGGCAGGCAGGGGAGGGGGGGGGAAGCAGGCTGCCTGCCGAGCAGAGAGCCCGATGCAGGACTCGATCTCAGGACCCTGGGATCATGACCTGAGCCAAAGGCAGAGGCTTTAACCCACTGAGCCACCCAGGCGCCCCAATAAATAAAATCTTTTCTTTTTTTTAAGATTTTTATTTATTTATTTGACAGATCACAAGTAGGCAGAGAGGCAGGCAGAGAGAGAGAGGAGGAAGCAGGCTCCCCACTGAGCAGAGAGCCCAATGTGGGGCTCGATCCCAGGACCCCAAGATCATGACCTGAGCCAAAGGCAGAGGCTTTAACCCACTGAGCCACCCAGGCACCCCAATAAATAAAATCTTTAGAAAAAAATAAGGGGCGCCTGGATGGCTGAGTCATTAAGTGTCTGCCTTCAGCTCAGGTCCTGATCCCAGGGTCCTGGGATCCAGCCCCGCATTGGGCTCCATGCCCAAGCAGGGAGGCCTGCTTCTCCCTCTCCCATTCCCTCTGCTTATGTTTCTCCTCTTTCTCTCTCTCTCTCTCTCTCTCTGTGAAATAAATAAATAAATAAATATCTTTTAAAAAGTAAAATAAAAAGCAGTGAGGCCCAGTTGATGGGGTGTTGGGTTCCCTTTACGGATGCTTCCGGACCTTCTTCACAAAGATGGGATCCAGCTGCCAGCTGTGGCAGACCGGTTCTGGGACCCACCCTTTATATTCGAGACGTGGCACATGGGACTGACGACGTGAGCACCTCCTCTGGCTCCTCACGCTGTGTGGGAACAACTACAGCTGACCCTTGAACAACACGGGTGTGAACTGTGTGGGTCCGCATATATGTGGATTTTTTTTTTTTTTTTACAGTACAGCACTGTAAATGTATTTTCCTGATTTTCTTAACATTTTGTTATATCTGGCTTACTTTTCTTAAAGTCTGCTTTACTGTAGGAATGCAGTACGCAATACATGTCCCATACAGAATGTGCTAGTGGTCTGTTTATGTCACGGGTAAGGCTTCTCGTCAATAAACTGTTTGTAGTTCTGTTGGGGGGCGTCAGGAGTTATACATGAAGGGGCACCAAGGTACTCAGTTGGTTAAGCATCCTTCTTGATCTCAGCTCAGGTCTTGATCTCAGGATCATGAGTTCAAGCCACGCTGGGCATAGAGCCTACTTTAAAAAAAAAAAAATTCTGTGTGGATTTTTGGCTGCATGGGGGATGGGTGCCCTTAACCTCTGCACTGTTCAAGGGCAACCTGTAGTTCATAATTTCTCCTTCGTGCTCCTCCATTTTAAAGCGTCCCTTGGTTCTCTGGGTCCGTTTGTCTCTAATCAGATGTCGTGTAATTACAGGATCCAGTCAGTCTCAGGAGCAGCCATCCAGTAGCTCTGAGGAAGCATCTGGAACAGAGGAGGAAGAGGAGGAGCAGCCCAGCTTCATCATGGGGCGATGGCAGTGTTTGCTGTAGTGGCTGTCTGGAGCCCGGCCCATTCTGCGGCCGAGCCTCAGAAAAGCCTCCACACAACCCGAGGCCAAAGGAGGCTCTGTTTCAGCTCAGTTCTCCTCCCAGCGCCTTGCTGGAGAGAAGCAAGCGGGAACCCATCCTGACTGTGGACAGCCCCGCCTGTTGGCAGGCCTCCATGCCTGTGGGACAGAGAGGACCATGTCCTGGACCCTTGGGGCACCGCCGAGCAGAGTTCATTCATGTTCCGGCTGATGGGGAACACGTATCACCTTCTGCCCCTGGTGCCTCCTCTCCTGTTTGGACAGTGATGAGTTTGGACCAGTTTCTGTGAAAGAAACGTTTATTTAGTAAAGAACAGAAACATCAGGTTTTGTTCAGACCTGTCTAATGTTCCAAAGCTACAGGGACGGCTGGGAAGCGACGTGACAGGGTGGCCTGTTTCCAGGCTTGCTGAAGGAAATGGCCCTGGCTCTGAGGCAGCCCACACTGCAGGACCCCCACTTCCTCCAGCTGAGGGTTAGACTGTTGGGGTTATTTATCTCCCGTTCCAAGTTTCTAAGTATATTTTGTGCCTTTTATTGAGTGTGATAGAATTAAGGAAATAGTGGTTTGGAGCGAAGGGAAACTAAGAAGCATTTCACTTGTTTTTTCATTTTTGCAGTATGGATTTTCCTGGCCCCACCCTGAGCCAGGCGACATCTGTGAGCACTTCTGTCCTTTAAGCAATTCAAGCCACAGGAATTTTTCTTTCCCAGGGAGCTGAAATGGAAAATCAGCGCTAATAAATTAGCACACCCCGTGGCTGTACATTTTGGAACCTGTGTTTCTCTCGCTGCCAGGGATCGGCTGGTTAGTTTTGTGTTTATTTTTTGTTCTACTATCTTGGTACTGTTGGTTTCCTTATCTCCCCGAAAGATGTGTGTCACGACTCTTGCTTTGAATCTCCAGCCTGCATCTCATGGGTGTTCTCTCGCCCTGGAGGCTGTCCACAGTGCTAGAGCTTGGAGCCTGAAGACCTAGGTATTCCAGTGCTTTTTTTTTGAAGATTTTATTAGAGAACACGAATGGCAGAGAGGGGGACAAGCAGACTCCCTGCTGAGCACAGGTCCCAATGTGGGGCCTGATCTCAGGACCCGAGATTGTGACCCGAGTCATAGACACTTCACCCACTGAGCCACCCAGGTGCCCCGCTGAGTATCCAGTTCTGACGCCACCTCTGGTACGTCTGGCCCAGAGCTTATTAATGTGATGGGTGGGGGGCAGTGGGGGCGGTGGGGGGCGAATGCCAGAGCAAACAGCAGGATGTCGCGCTGAAGGGTTATGTTCTGCACCTTTCGTGGGTTTTGGAAGAGGATGTTTAGGTAGAAAATGTGTAGTAATTTCTGGCTACTTTTTTTTTTTTTTTTTTTTAGTTTTATTCATTTGACAGAGATCACAAGTAGGCAGAGAGGCAGGCAGAGAGAGAGAGGGGGGAGGAAGCAGGCTCCCTGCGGAGCAGAGAGCCCGATGCGGGGCTCGATCCCAGTACCCTGGGATCATGACCTGAGCCGAAGGCAGAGGCCTTAACCCACTGAGCCACCCAGGTGCCCCAATTTCTGGCAATTTTTAAGGGGCTGTCAGTACCAGGTAAATGACGGTCTTCAGGGTATTGTTTGAGAAAAGGAAACAGGTGTCATCATGGAGAAGGGAGTAGGAGATACGGAGAGACTCCCATCCTATTCCCCCTGCCAAGAAAAGCCATGAGGAGGAGAAAATTGTTCAGTAATGCCCTCGCTGATCAGCTTGGGGGGGGCGGCAATGGGGACTTGATCCACAAAGGTGTGCCTAACTTGGCTGTCTCAGGAAGCCACACGTATAAGAATTCTGATTCGCTTCATTTACTTCCTCGCTCCCTGCGTTTGTTGAGCACTTCATGGGACAGCCCTATACCAGCCAGAGTCGTTTGCATTAGAGCACTGCATCCTTCAACTAGATGTCCCTTACAGGTTTACCAGACGAGATTTATAAGTACAGAGAGGTCTGAAAACTGGCCCGGATCACCCAGCAAGTAAGTGGCAGAATCCCACAGTCCAGCCCCTGCACCGTAGTGCTGTGCTGCTCCGGGGAGAACGTGTGGGGCCCAGACCTGCTGGGGAGGGAGGCCGGTGCAGCGCTCTTGGTGCCAGAGCTGTAGGCTGAAGGCCGCTCCTTCAGTAAGCTCCAGGTGCATGTGCGTGTGTAATAACGTATATGCTGGTTTTATTTTTTTTATTTTTATTTATTTTTATTTATTTGTCAGAGATCACAAGCAGGCAGAGAGGCAGGCAGAGAGAGAGGGAAGCAGGCTCCCTGCTGAGCAGAGAGCCCGATGCGGGGCTCGATCCCAGGACCCTGGGATCATGACCTGAGCCGAAGGCAGAGGCTTTAACCCACTGAGCCTCCCAGGCGCCCCTATATGCTAGTTTTAAATACAGTTGCCCCTTAGTCTTCACAAGGGCTGTGTTCGTGAATTCACCCGTTCACTAACGCTTACCTGTGATGCCAAGATGAATACTCATGCTTTTGCGGTCACGGGTAGACGTGCACAGAGTGGTGACGAATTCCAGTGGCCCCATGAAGGGTTTGCAGCTGAGTTCAAACAAAGCAGTGCTCTGCCTTCCTGTTCGGCTCAAACGTGTCTATTTAATGGCAGTTTTTTTTTGCATTTTTTGCTTTTCCTGGATGATTTTGCCTTTTAAAATGGCCCCAAAGCACAGTCCTCGAAGTACTGTCTAGTGTCCTAAACAAGAAGGCCGATGTGCCTTAGATGAGCTCTGTTTAGGCATGAGTTACAGTGCCGTTGGCCGCGAGTTCGTCATTAATGAATCAATACATGTTAATGCAAGTGTTTTCATTTTTTAAATTTTTATTTAAGATTTTTTTTTTTTCAAGTAATCTCTACACCCAACGTGGGGCTTGAACTCACAAGCCCTAGATCAATGATCTTGGGGTCGTGGGACCAAGCCCCTGGCACAGAGCCTGCTTGAGATTTTCTCTCTCTGCCCCTCCCCCCCATAAAATAAAATAACTTAAAAAAAAAAAGTCATATGCTTCCCCGACTGAGTCAGCCAGGCACCCCCAATGAAAGTGTTTATAAACAAAAACACATAAAACACGGTTATGTGACGATTGGTTGATGTGACGGGGGGGGGGTCACAAAAACACCCCTGTTTCCCCAAGCAGCAGTGGTTCAGTATTCAGTAATCAGCACCCAGCATTTGCAGTGACTTTCTGGAACATAATAACTACCATGAATCATGAGAACCAACTGTGCGTGTGTTTGGAGAGTGAGGGAGCGTGCACAAGCAAGCCTGGCCTTCCGGAGAGCAGCGTTTCCTAAAGCACGGATTGGACGTCACTGCTGTGTTCCCTGTGCGCACAGTACTTGGTCTCACCGGGGGGATCCGGGGCTGGACTCCTCAGTCCCACTTTGAATGTAGGACCAGAGAAGTCACATGGGAGGGAACCAGCACTCCCCACCTATCCTTCGGTCTCCCTACTGTGTTCATCTCCCACCATCATGTGTTTTCATGTGTCCTTTCCCGGCCCTGTCCCCCGCAGCGGGTACCCGTCTCCTAGAGCAGAGAGAAAGCAGAGGCTCAGGCCGAGGCCTCATGCCCCACCACTTCATCCCGCCCGGCTTGCCCTCCAGGTGCACTGCCTGGTGCAGGCCCCACTGCGCCCCAGCCACAACAACAGAGCAGGGCTGCCGCCCCATGTACCTCCTCCCTTCTCAGCCCAATTTCCAGAGAAGTCTCTGTTTGCTTCCACCTCTCCCATCATTCCAGGGAGCCTCCAGTGTTGCCGCATCCAGCCCTGGGGGCATCTGTATTGTATAGAAGCCCAAACCCTTAGCATCGCTGACAGCACTGCCTTCTGCCTTTCCCTGGCTTGCTTCTCTGCTCAAATTCTAAATGTTAGGGTGACCTAGTGCACTGCCTTTTATGGTCAACACTCAGGCCCCAGGAGATCTTAGTCTGACCCGCAGCTTTAAATACCGCCCTCACGGCTGTCTTCCGAGTTGTGGCTTCAGCTTGCCTTTGGAGCCTCTGCCTCAGCCTGGGTCCGTGTCCCACTCCCCTCACCCCTGCTCTGCCTCTTCCCGCCCATGCACTGGCCTTGACTTCCCACCCAGCCTGTTCTGTTTCCTTGCACCCATCCTTTGTACGCTGTTCAGCCTCCTGCCACACCAGCATCCCTCACATCCCCCGCTCAACTCTGAGCGCCACCAGAGCAGGAACCTGCCTGTCCTGTGCTTTGCTGTACCTCTAGTGCCAGCACAGGGCCTTGGACATCACAGATACTCAGTGATGTCCGGTTCGGTGACTGAGCAAATCTCAGGGCCTGAAAGCGAGCAGGGAAGTTGTTCGTACCTGAAAATCTGGCCCCTGTGGCAGGAAGAGCCTGAACAGGGGCACACGGTCAGCCATGTGTGCCGGAGCCGCAGATGTGATGCCCCAGGCGGCCGCAGACCCCGCCTCAGACCTCCAGACTGTCAGGCCGGGTCCCGGAGGCCAGCTGCTCACTGCTCAGGCATTTCAGACGTGCCCTCCACAACCCCTGCTGCAGGTGTCCCTGTATCTTCAGAAACTGGCTTGGAACTGGTGGAGGACTGTAACTAGTTCAAGTTCCCTTTCCTGTTTGCGACATGGAGCTTTTTGGAAAAAGCCAATTATTCAGTAGAGTTAGAGGAGTGATATTTTGTTGACTTTTGGAAATAGGAATATAACTCAGTCCGTCTCCAGGCTGCTTGGAAGGAGAGCGGGGAAAGCTCGGTTTCCTTCTGCAGCGGCGCCGGAACCGGGTGCGCCTTCTGCCCTGTGCAAGCTCATTTATGTCTACCTTTTGGCGCATACTTGACTAAAGTGAGCTACCGTTACCATATTTTAATATATTTCTGTAAAGAAAACACCATGGCAGAGGTCCTGAGGCACTTTTCAGTTTTCTTATTCCACAGAATATAGCAAATGTTGAATAGGACCAAAAGCTTAATCTCAAAGATCCGTAAGTGTACTTGGCCCAGCACTGGGGATGATGGTGAGCAAGACACAGGCCTTGGCTTGAAGGAGCTCCAGATCTGATAAGAGACACAGACAAGAGAAAGGTCAGTGTGGTGGCCCGGTAGCACAGGATGGCATGTGACCCAGGCCTCCGGGATGTGGGCAGGGCTGAGCTGAGCTGGGTGGCTCACAGCAGTTTTCAAAAAGCAAGCTGAGTCCGGATTAGTAGCAGATGCCCTGTCACAGCCTGAGTCACTAGGTTAAGGGGATTAAAGTTGATCTAAGGCCGCAGGGAAACCTGAAGGGCTGGAGGGGTGCCGGAGAGATGGGAATTTTTCCACTTCAGAGTGTGGAGATTAGATGGGAAGGGGACAGGTGGAAAGATCTTGCAGGAATGCAGAACAGGAGTGACGAGGGCCTGAATTAACGTGGGACCTGTGGGACCAGGGAGAAACGGGAGAGTTCACAGGACTGGTTGGGGGTGGGAGGAATCAGGAATGACGGCAGATCTGTAATGTCACCAGCTGGGTGGCTGGTGGAACTCCTTGAGACAGGGGACCCAGGAGGTAGAGCAAGCAGGCGAGGAAAGATAAGGAATTCAGCTGTGAGTGTGGCGGGTGGCAGGGGGGTGGGGGGTCGGGGAGGGTGTCTTGGGACATGCCCTGCCAGGCTGAGGGAGATCCAGGCTGGAGATGACCATTGGAGTCAACAACCTCCTTGAAACAAGGGGAGTGGGTGGGACCCGTTGGGAGGGAAGTGGGGAAACCCCCACATCTAGGGGACAGACAGCAAAGGGGGAGGCTGCACAGGTTAAAAAAAAAAAAAAAAAAAGTGAGGGCACCGGAGCAAGGAGAGTTGTTTCTAGATGGGAGGAAGGCACAGCGGAAATCTGTCCTGGAGTTAGTTTCACAGTGGTAGTGGGCTGTTGAGGGCCGGGAAGGAAGTGGTGATGACAGCTCTCTTGAGAAGTGTGGCATGAAGTAGGGGAAGGGCAGTGGTAGGGGGGAAGGGCAGTGGTAGGAGAGGTCAGAAGGGGTCAGGCTGAATGGGAGGGGAGGCGGGGGTGGGAGGCGCTGGTCTGAGCACAGGCTAGGAGGCAAGGTGGAACAGGCTGGCAGCTGGGTGAGAAAAGCTCAGGAAGTGGGAGGTGCAAATTTAAGATCTAAAGGGCAGTGACAAGAACTAGCCATAGGAGTCAGTGGCCAAGGGGACGGAATTATCAGGAGGCTGGATACATTGTCCCGAGCAGGTGAGCAGCCAGCCAGATGAGAAGACCCAGGGAAAAGGAAAGCAGAGGCCGTGTTCTTCCTGGAATGAGAGGGTGTGCATTGGTGGGAAAATCAGAACATGATCGACCCATGGGATGTGCCTTGGAGAATTGGGTCTTCCAAGCTGAGGCCCAAGGAGAAGAAGCGACTTGCCGTGGCCAAACTCCTCAGGAAATCACAGCCCAGACTGTACCTGGACATGACAGCTGGGTGGCGCTCCCATGGGCCTTGCCCTGATCCTCCTCTGTGCACTTGACGGGCCCTCCAACTGCTGGCATTCTAACTGCTCCTCTCCGTTCAGCACGGTGCTGGCACCTTCCTTAATCTTCTATGGGGGAGAAAGCCGTTTTCTGTGTTTGGTTAGGAAACTGGCTCCGAAAACCACTGGCGATGATGACTTAGATCTTGCTTCTGTCTGGACATGCTGGGTGAGTGCGCTTGGGGCTGGAGGCACCACTCGCTGGAACGTTTCTAAAGGGTGTGCAGTCAGACTCCAAGGGTGAAAATTAGAGCAAGTGATTCTGTTGTGGAAAGAATGGTCATCTGTGATGCCAATGATTCTAGTTTACAAAGTGTTTCTTCCTGTTTTCCACATCATTTTACAAAGAGCTGTTGGGTTTTGAGGGTTCTGTCCCCTAAAATGCAAATGATCCCTTTCTTACAGCCCTCTGTAACGTGTGTGCATGTGTGTTGGGCGGAAGGTCAGTAATCAGACCCTGGGATTTTCCTAGGCTGTTTTCCTGGTCTGTTTTTTAAGTGTCTTCCTGAATTAAAAGGTGTCATTCTGGCTCTCAGTAACGGCCTCTAAGATACATCTTGAGAGAGGAACGGATTTGGCCTGACATGCATTCACCTCTCTTCTTACGGCTGTCAGAAAACTTGGACCAGTTGACATGAGTGGGATTTTTCTTTCCTTTGGATAAATGTGTCACCGTCGGATAGGGTTGTGACAGATGGAAAAATCCTATGTAGGGCATGCAGGAAGGACTGTGAGGGGCCTTCTGGCACAGGGGCTTGATATGAACCCATCTCGCCTCTCAGTTAGTCTCTTAGTTAATTATTCCTACGCACTTCCTGAAAAGAATGTTCCTGTTTGAACAGCTCGGTAGAACAGCTCGGCTTGGTGGACGCCCATTAGGAGCCAAGTGAGCTGCACGCGGGTGAGGACCCTGCGTGTGTGGCTGGTCGTGTCGCTTGGGGGGGTGGGGTGGCTGGCTACAGTCCCCGTGACCACCTGACCAGCTCCAGCAAGCTGTGTGCAGCACCACGGTCCACCCTGGCCAACGGGTGTGGCTGCGGGAACCTTTCCCTCTTCCCCACTCCAGCCACCTCACCCCTCCGGCCCTGTGGCCAGACAATGGGATACCTGTTCCCTCTCCCCGCAGGGTGTGCCCTCCTGGCCTCTCCCCACCCCTCCACAAGGCCCATGGCCAGTCCTGGGCATCCTTTGGGACTCACCCTGGGGACTCCGTGCTCGCTTTGGGTGTGAGTACCCAAGTACCGAGTACTGGAGCAGGCCGAGCACCTGTTGTCCAGACCCAGGGACCAGAGAAAGCGCAGCCGTATTGTCCGCCCGCACCACTGGGGGAGAAAGAAGGGGGTGGTGAGAGCGAGGGATGCCCAGGCTTCCCGCCCCCTCCGCTGCCGAGCCAGCCCGTGTTCACTGTGACCCACGGCGCGCCCGGGGAACCGGAGAGATGCGCACCTTTTGCCAGTTTCCGCTCCCCGGCTTCCGGCCCAGGTGATCCTGACCAGCAGATCCGCGCCACCGGGGTCCCCCAGGAGGGGCAGCGAGTCCCGTCCCCCCCTTTCCCCCTCCTCCCCTCCCGGCCTGCCAGGTCACGTGGCCCGTGGCGCCCCCATGGGCCAACCACGTGATGGCGGCGCGCCGTTGCCTTGACAGCGGCTGCGGTGGCCCGCGGGGGCGGGGCAGCCGGCGGGGGCGGGGCGGGGCCGGGAGGGGGGACCCGGCGGGACGCGCGGAAGGAGGGAGGGGGCCGTGCTCAGCGCCCTGGCCGGTCCACGGGGCCACAGGGCAACGCGGCCACGCCGCCCGCCGCAAGCCCGAGCCGGAGTGGAGCCGGGCGGGCAGGCAGAACAGCTCGGTGAGTGCTCGCCGTGGGGGGTTGGCGGGGTGTGGGGGGGTACCCCGCCCTGCTGGGGGACGGAACGGAATTGCACCGGGAGACTCGACCGGGGGGAGGGGATGGGCTTTCTCCTGGGCAGGCTCGGGATGGGGTGGCTGCGGGGGGTTGGAGGGTGGCCAGGTGGCCCCGACCCCATGGGATCCTCGCGGGGTGCGGCGCTGAGAAGGCTCAGAGGTCGGGGACAGGGGCAGAGTGTGTGTCTTGCGGCTACTGAGGCTTCCCTAGGGAAAGGGACTCAGATGCAGGTGGACGCCTCTGGGAGACCCCTGTGGGGACTGTGCGCCCCCCCTCCCCCGTGGGTGTGACAAAGACCGAGTCAGAAACAGACTCGCCATTGCTCATGCCCCAGATGTTTAAAGGAAGTAAGACAGGCAAACCCCAAACCTACCCCCTGGAAAAGATTCAGACAGGCCTGCCAAGAAGAATAGCTCATCCTGAAGAGTCACCGTTATTCTACAAGAGCTTTTTTCTCTAACCCGTATGTATAAAAAAACAAAAATTCTCTGCAAAGTTCAGCCAGGAGAGCACTTTTTGGAGCCTCTGCCACCTGACAGAAATGTCCGGTTCCATCTTGCCTCACCCCACCCCATACCCCGTCCGGGAGAGTGAGGACCAGACTCTACCTCTCCCAGGGGTAGGGAGAGGAGGCCTGGCGCAAGGTAGGACACTGGTGCTAGGACGGTTTGGATGGATGTGAATCGGGTCCGGGCTGCTCCCTCAGCAGGAAGTGGCCTTTCTATCTCCGGGACCCGCAGGCCTGCCTGGAGACCCAGACTCCAAGCAGACACACAGCCCGCCCTTCCTTCCACTCCCTGCCACTCTGAGGACGTGTGCGGGGCTGTGACTGGCTGGCCACTACCCAGAGGCCACCGTCGGCCCTCACTGCCCCCAAAGCCCTCTGCCTCCACTGTCCATCCTGAGCCCAGCCCATGCCCACTGATGGCCCCTGGGCTTCCCGCTTCTTCACCCCACACATGCCTTTCCCCCTTGGGGGGCTCCCCGGTCCTTCCATCCCGCCAACCGTCTCCGTGGACATCCAGACCAGATTGACCGCACGCTGCTCCTCTTACTGGTTCCTACAGAGTGCCTCCGCGCGGCGCCTCTGAGAGGCCCACTCAGTCCCCCTGCCTGGGCTGCCCCCGGCTCCACACACTGCCCGCATCCAGCCTTCCCCCTGCATTTCCTGGACCCCTTCTGCAGCCAGCTGGCCTTCCTGCCACGGCCCCTTGCCTCTCAGAACCCTCCCATGCGGGCAGCGTCTCATCTTTGAGGGAGGGTCCCTGTTTGCCAGGGTTGCCTTTACTATGTCTGTTCTTGCTACCCAGTAGGGACCGTCTCGCTGAGGCCGAGGCAGCCAGCCCCTCCTCTGCTCCTTGACCCTCACCCCTTCGCCACTAAAGCAGCCTTTAGTTCACTGGGTGATAATCACCTGCTGAGACTGCTCCCCCACTGGGTGATAATCACCCCCCGAAGCTGCTCCCCCACTGGGAGCGGCAGAGCAGACCCTCACCACTTCCATCTCTGAGGCCTGAGTACCAGATGCAGCCTGACCTCAGAGCCCAGTAAGCACCTACTGGACGGAGTGCAGAGGACGGATCCTCTGAGGGGGCGAAGCCTGTGACTCTCACCCGTCCGCTCACTTCTGTGATGTGTGGGAGAAGAAAAAAGAAAAACAAGGAGGAAGGCACCCCAAAAGAGAGAGCTCTCCCCCGCCTCCCGGACCTTCCCACGGAACCCTTTTAGAGATTGACATGGATAGATCCAACTTGGCCCCTTCCCACAGCCACTGACCTTGGTAAACAGCCCGTACTCTCCGTCCCCCCAACCCCAGCCATGCTCCCTGGGACCTGGAAACACTGATCTGTTCATAGTAGCTTTAAGTAGGCTTTCATTGGGGCCTGTGGGGCCCTGAACGTACAAGTAATATATTAATGCCAGGCAAGCTGCGAGGTGCCTGTGCCCTTGAAGTCTGTCCTACAGATTAATTAGAGTCGAGCCCGGCGTGCTGCCGCGTGGGCCGGCCCCTTGGGCCATAGGAGACGGTCAATCCCCTATTTGGATTACTGGAGATTTGGGTTTAAATTCACAAATCTTAACAGATTGGTCCCTCCGATCTTCGTGCCATGTTATTATCAAAGCAGATACCTACCTGGGATGACTGCAATGGCGTCAGCCTCCACTGCTTTGTGGAACCTGCTCCTGTGGGTGGGTTCAGTTTTTCCTTTTGCTCACAGTTTCCATCAGAGCCTGGATGCGGCTTTCCTTTAGTCCCAGAACCCCAAGTATTTCTGGGGGTGAACTGCGCCAATCAAAATTCAAGTTGGATTTGAGAAATGAGCCCCGGCGTGGAAATGTGTTTTTCATGGTTGGCGCCTGGGCGTTGAAAAGCGGTTTTGAGTCTTCGGGTCCGTTATTTTGTTTCTGAGCCCTGTAGGGGTAGAGATGTCCCCACTGGAAGATGCTTGGGGTCAGAACGTTCAGATGTCATGTCCAGGATCACACTGTGGGAGCCAATCCCGGCCTAGTGACCGGGTCCTAGGATTGGTATACAGGCCGTAGCTCCCTATTCCCTGAAGAGAGGAACAATTTGGAGGATTCCTTCTGTGCTTGTTCAACCACAAGCCACACTTGCTTGGAGCATTTCTGACGTAGGGGTGGAAGCCTGGGTCATTAGCTTTGTGGAGGCACGAAGGATGCGATGTGGGTGGCGCAGGGCGGGGGGTGTCCTGGAAATGTACTCCTGACCCTCCTCCCCAGCAGATGGGCCCCACACGCAACACTGCCCCTGGTGTAGGGTGTATACAGCAGGTCCCAGAGAAAGTTAACTTGCCCAGCTTCTGGCTTTTCCAGGTCTCGGGGACCCTCTGGGATGCCTGAGAGTGTCTCTCTCCTGCCCCCAGCCTGGCTCCCACCATGAGCGCAGAGCTCAACGTGCCTGTGGACCCCTCCACTCCCGCCTGCTCTGAACCCGGCCACAAGGGCATGGATTACCGAGACTGGGTCCGCCGCAGCTACCTGGAGCTGGTCACGTCCAACCACCACTCCGTGCAGGCCCTGTCCTGGAGAAAACTCTACCTGAGCAGAGCCAAGCTGAAGGCCTCCAGCCGGACCTCTGCCCTCCTCTCGGGCTTTGCCATGGTGAGTGCAGATCCGTGGCGGGACCCGCGGCCTGCAGGGTGGGCTTCTGCTGTCGGAATCCTATGGCGCTCCAGGGAGCAAAGTGCTCTCTCTGGGCCCTACTGGCTGTTAGGACAGACCCTTAGGAAATCTCCCCAAGGAGTCCCCAAGCCCTGGAGGCCACAGAAAGCCCCCTTCTTTTTTTTTTTTTTTTTAAAGATTTTATTTATTTATTTGACAGATCACAAGTAGGCAGAGAGGCAGGCAGAGAGAGAGGAGGAAGCACGCTCCCCGCTGAGCAGAGAGCCCGACGCGGGGCTCGATCCCAGAACCCTGGGATCATGACGCGAGCCGAAGGCAGAGGCCTTAACCCACTGAGCCACCCAGGCGCCCCGAGAAAGCCCCCTTCTGACATTCCCACAGAGCAGTTACCTGGCAGGGAAGTCGAGCTCGATGGAAACAGCTTCAGTGTACAGGGAGGAGAGTGCCCACGTCCGCCCCACCCCGAGCACCGCCTGAGAGGGGAAATCTGCAGGATGGAGCGGGATTGGGATCGATTGGGGTTCGCTTGGGTTAGCCCGGCTCGGGACACAGATCGCCTCCCCCGCCGTCCCACATGTGGCCTCCTGGTGATGAAGCGGAGCCCCTGGCCTGCCTCCAGGCTGTCACCTTTAGCTTTCCTTCTGAGTCATTCCCTGGGGCAAGAGTCGGTCTTGGGCAGACCGCGTGCCCTAAGCCAGGGTTCAGAGTATGAACACGGGAGTGATCGCCCCTCTTTCTCTGTTGTATGCTTAGAGGTCCTATCTGATGGGAATAATGTTTTTCTTCATTTTAAAATCTTTTTAAAAAAGATTTTATTTGAGAGAGAGAGTGCACGCCCAAGCAGGGGGAGATGGAGAGGGAGTGAGAGGAGCAGGCTCCCCACTGAGCAGGGACCCCCCCACACACACATGGGGCTTGATCCCAGGACCTCAGGATCATGACCTGAGCCGAAGGCAGATGCTTAACTGATTGAGCCACCAGGTGCCCCAATTTTTTTCCTGAATGTAAAAAACAACTGTTATTTTTCCAAAGCCCAGAGCGTTTGTTGTCAGGTCGGTAGTACAGAAAATAAGCCATCAGAATGAGCCACTGTGGCCGGTCCTGTGGCAGGGGCCTGCTCTCTCGCTGGTACAGGCCACCCTGGGAAAACCGAGAGCCTGTGTGGTCAGGGCATGGCGGAGGCCACCAAGCTTAGAGGCTAGAAGTATGGATTTAGATCTGTAGTTTAAAGCGAAGGCTTCATTTCGGTGTTGCATGGTATTGATTTACTTATTCTTAACCTAACTTCAGAAGGGTACACTCGCACGGGGTGCAACCTTGGTTTAGAGTGATTTTCTTCCCGTGGTTTCCATAACGAGCAAAAGACAGAATGCTATCTCAAGGTTCCTTTGAAGGGACACGTGTGAGAAGTATAAACAACACTATGAAAATGAGAGCTTGTTTTCTCCACCACGGAATTATAGGGTTGCATTACCTTTGTCTGGCCCACTCTTAGGATTATTTTTGGGACTGTGGAAAACAAACCATGGGGAGTATCATGTACGTCGGGTTTCCTTTGTGTGGGGGACCCGGGTCTCAGAAGTCCTTTCCTGGCTTCAATGTCTTCTTAAATTCTTTAACCCTGGCCTTCCAGACACTTGGATCTGCAGACTTAGAGAAGCTGTTTTCCCAGCCCACAAAAGGGCTCACCCACACTGAAGCCTCCAAAACTACTCATTTAAAATTGGAAAATGGGGTGGGGAGGCACGTGAGTGGCTCAGTCGGTTAAGTATCTGCCTTCGGCTCGGGTCATGATCCCAGAGTCTGGGGATCGAGCCCCGCATCGGGCTCCCTGCTCAGCGGGGAGCCTGCTTCTCCCTCTGACCCTTCCCCACTCTCAGGTGTGAGCTTTCCCTCTCTCTCTCAAAGTAAATAATAAAGTCTTAAATAAATAAATAAATAAAATGAGATCAGGAAATGGGCCCTGTTCCTCAGGTTATAAAACAAAGAGTGGCAGCCAGCAGGGTATGAAATGGTCTTAGAATGAAAATAGTGACCACAGAGAGACAGGCATGGGAGGGCCCGGATGTACCCCACAGGGTGCTATCCATCCCTAGCTTGGTGATGGCAGTCACCCTTGCCAGTACTAATTCCTTTCTTCAACATTTACAGAGTGTCTCCTCTCCCTGCACGTGCTCCCTTAACGCAGTCTGGGATACATTTCAGGAGCTGTACCGTGCCCTCACCCTCCCTTCTAGAATGTTCCTTTCAGGGAGGCTGCCACAGCCTAATACACACCAGAGAGTCAGCCGTAATGGGGAAGTAGAAAGCAGTAGAAACGGGGGCGTGCAAAGACCAGCAGTAGGGACAGCAGCAGCCGACCCAATGGACTACGTAGCGTAGACCAGCTCAGGATTCGGAGGGTGGGCGAGTGCGGGAGAAAGCAGACACACACAGATGGGCAGAGAGCATGTCAGCCGCAGACACCGTGGCCCACGGTGGGGCAGGGACGAGCACAAGTGGAGAGGCAGTTTGCTAGGTGGTCTCTCCCTTCGTGTTCTGTATCCCCTAATTAGAAGTGCAAAGCTGTTCTAACGGCAAAGCACTTCTGCCTACGGTGAGCCTGTTTCTTCATGTTTATCCTTCTGCAAACACACAGAACCAGTGATCCGAGGCCCCCTCATAAAATCTTTGCATAAACACATTGAAAAATGGCCTTTGGGCCCTTTCTCTCCTGAAGGCTGAACAAAACTGGTTTCTTACTGTAGGCCTTTTACTTATCATTGTTTCTTACCTCGGTGCTCTCTGTGGTTTACAACCTCCTCTTGCTGAGCATGTCCTTTGTGGTAGCAAGAGCCTGCCCAGGCCACAGGGGGCACCGAGAAAAGACCGTCCCTCAACTCATGTGGTGTGACAACTGTCTGTATGGAGCAGTGACCACTTCTGAGTTTCTGTTCAGCTATGGTCCACTAGGACTGCCCTATCTTCTTTTTACCTACCAAATGTTCCATCTCTGCTGAGACGATGAGTCACTCACTCTAGGAGGCGGTAGTTGCTAAAAGTTGTGAAATCTTTCTTGTAAAATTTTAAAAACGGGATGGCTTAGATCTAGGAAGTAAACACAGTGGGTAGAAAAGCCTTCCTCCGGCTTCATTCCGCCTTCCCTCCCCTTTCCATGACTGGTCTGGTTTCTTACTTCTGGGTACCCAGGAGAAGGCCCTTGGTGAGCCCTAGAGTCCTTGCCAGGCCTGGACTAAACCGTCCCCTGGGGGATGTCCACAGTGCCGGGCCACAGAGGGAGCCATTCTCCATGTACTGGGTTCCACCCTGGGGGAAGCAAAGCTGGAGCCCATTTCCTAGTCTGAGGTTTGAATGCCCTTTAGGCCTTAGGCTGAGCAGGTCCTGCCCTGCTGGCTATAGGCATCCACTGCCACAGAGGTAGGCTGGGGCTTCTGGTTCCCTCTGAGGATTTTCCTTCCTTCCTTCCTTCCTTCCTTCCTTCCTGAGAGTGCGCACATGCGCACATGAGTTGGGGGGGAAAAGCAGACAGAGAGGGAGAATCTGCAGCTGACTCCCTTGAGTGTGGAGCCCGGATGTGGGGCTCGACCTTACGACCCTGAGATCACCACCCGAGCTAAAACCAAGAGTCGGACGCTCAGCCAACTGCACCACCAGGTCCCCCTTTTTCTTTTGTTTAAAACTCGTTTTGGGGCCGCCTGGCTGGCAGTCCGTTGAGCGGGCTACCCTGTATCTCAGGGGCGTGAGCTTAAAAATTTTTTTGGTTAAAAAAAGATAACAAAAACGGTTTTTATTTTATCAAAGTTAATACATGCTGGCAGTTTACAAACGAAGGAGCGCTTGAGGCTCTAAGCTGCCTCCCGTCCCCACCGCAGCAGTGACTGCAGGCCCCTCCTTTCTGAACAGCTTTCTCCAGACTGTTGTTTCTGGATTTATCCGTTTCAGGCCTTACCTGTTGGCCTTGTCTCCCTGCGACTGTGGGTGATGACTCAGCTCTTTGCCCAGCCCAGCCCCCTCCCCACAGCCCCTGTCACCTCTGCCCTCATTCCTGTCACCATTCCTGGCCTTGGAGATGCGGGCTTCTCCCTAGGGCGTCTGGTCTCCACTGCCTGATGCACCCACTGTCCACGTGAGGCTGTCCAGGTTTGTAGCTCTGAGTCCAGGGGCCGCCAGGAGTCCCCGGTACTACCTTTCTCTTGTTACCCTTTGAAAGTGGGGGTTTTTTTACAGGTATTTTATAGATTTTATTTTTTTATTTGACAGAGAGCACAAGCAGGGGGAGTGGGAGAGGGAGAAGCAGGCTCCCCGCTGAGCAGGGAGCCCGACACAGGGCTCGATCCCAGCACCCTGAGATCACGACCTGACCCGAAGGCAGACGCTCAACCGACTGAGCCAGGCGTCCCAGTTTTTTAGTGTTTGAAAACAGCATTGTTTGGTGGCTAAGCCAAGCCACGAGTTCCCGAGGAGTGTGGCCTCTGTCCTGGCTCAAAGCCCGGCACCCAGAGAACCCCGTGTTCAGTGCCAGGAAGGCCCCCGGGGGGGTGAGCCCTGCCGTTCCCCACCCTATGCCTTCAAGCTCCGTCCTCGGTGGGAAGTCCTTTAGCGCCTGAGAAAACAGAAACTGAAGCGTGCGAAGGGCGAGGCGGGCGCCCCCTGCCCTGCGTGGCCCTGGCCCAGCGCCCCCCTCCCCACCCCGCTCTGCCTCGCAGGTGGCCATGGTGGAGGTCCAGCTGGAGACGCAGTACCAGTACCCGCGGCCGCTGCTCGTCGCCTTCAGCGCCTGCACCACGGTGCTGGTGGCCGTGCACCTGTTCGCCCTGCTCATCAGCACGTGCATCCTGCCCAACGTGGAGGCCGTGAGCAACATCCACAACCTGAACTCCATCAGCGAGTCCCCGCACGAGCGCATGCACCCCTACATCGAGCTGGCCTGGGGCTTCTCCACCGTGCTGGGCATCCTGCTCTTCCTGGCCGAGGTCGTGCTGCTCTGCTGGATCAAGTTCCTGCCCGTGGACGCGCGCCGCCAGCCCGGCCCCCCGCCCGGCCCCGGCGGCCACACGGGCTGGCAGGCCGCCCTCGTGTCCACCATCATCATGGTGCCCGTGGGCCTCATCTTCGTGGTCTTCACCCTCCACTTCTACCGCTCCCTGGTGCGCCACAAAACCGAGCGGCACAACCGCGAGATCGAGGAGCTGCACAAGCTCAAGGTGCGGCTGGACGGGCACGAGCGCAGCCTGCAGGCGGTGTGAGCGCGCCGCGCCCCTGCCCCACCCCCGGCCCGGCCCGGCCCGGCCCGGCGCGGGCGTGGAGCTGCCGGCCAGGCCGCCCCGACACTGCCGCGCCGTTCCAGACCAAAGTCTTACCCCCGTCCTCGCACCAGAAAGCCTGGCCGTCTGGGCCTCCTGCAGAAAATGGCGATCTGTAGAAAAAGAGAGACTCTGTTGCTAAGAGCTGAGAGCAAAACCGCCTGAGTCCTGGGGCCTGGGGATTCCCTGCGGCAGGAGACGAGTGTCACGGGCAGGCTCGGTGCTCGGGGGAGGGCTGAGGGTTTCAGAGAAGGGACTGCGCCGTGCCACCTGGGGTGTGGGTCTCAATGTGCCACCCTGCTGCAAGGAGATGGGGTGCAGGCCCACAGCTTGGCCTGGTGCTTCGCTCCCCTGTCCTGGGGGGATTAGGTGGCCGGGCTGACGGGGGAGGGCAGGAGCTGGGGTCCCAGGTCCGCTCAGCGGGCGCAGTAGGCGCTCAGCCGGGCATCGGACTGGTCTCGCCCCCAGGGAAGACTTCCAAGGACAGAGGCCTGGCCGGGCCGGGAGGTGCGTCTTTGGGCATCCCATGGGAGATGCCCACCTACAGAGACCTTTAACTGGGTGCTCTGGGGCACACTGGGCTCAAGTTCTCTCTGCCTAGCCAGCCTGGAGCCCTGGGCGTATTAACCCAGCAAAGTCACCAGGTTGGGGAAAGGGTTCACAGTCCAGAGGCCTCCATCTACAAACTAGCTTCTGAACCCATGTCAGCAGCCCCTCCAGGCTACAGCTGCCAAAGGCCCTTGCCCAGAGAGCGGAGCATGCTTCCTAGCTCCCCGCTGCCTGTGACCCCAGGAGGAGGGAGGGTGTGGCCTGGGGGACTTCCTCTCTAGACAAGGTCTGTTGGCCTGATCCGGCTCATCCATTTCCACGGCCGCGCACGTACATACTACGGCTCAGCTTAGGGGTGAGCATGCTGCACCCCGAGCTGCTTTCCAAACCCACACTTCCCACAGCGGCCAGCAGCAGCCCGGACAGGGAGCCTGCCTTGTTTCCCATCATCGTGGGACGTCATGCTCTGAGGGCGTCTCTGTGGGGTCTGGGTGACCCGTGCCGAGAAATCCCGGCTGGCCTGGCTGTGGCTGCAGGGAACGTGACGTACCATTGAGGACATAAACCTTAACACATAACCAAAATGCCACGGGGCTGTCTGGGAGCCGTGCCGGGAGTCGCCGTGGTAAGTCGGGAGGTTACGGGAGTCCAGACGTCGGGTTCCGTGGAGCCAGACGAGAGCCCGGCGTCGTCCATGGGCGCGGCCCTGCTGTTCCGCAGACCTCTGTCCATGCTTGCCTGCTGTCTGGTGCGTGTCTGTCCTGTCCCGCAGCCTTGTTGAAAAGGCTTGTCTGGCTTCGTGTGTGTTTGCTCTGTGTCAGCGTCGCTGTAAGACAACTGCTCTGTGTCCTGGCAGGGACAGCGCAGGCGGCCCCTCCCCGCAGCTGGGAGTGGGCAGCAGCCCCATCCTCCAGCCTGAGCCTTCGGAGAGGGGCCGTGCTGGCCTCACTTCCCTGGGCCATCGGGTGCCCCTGCCCCAGGTGTGCCAGGCGTGCCAGGTTGCCAGACTGGAAAGCACCCCCAGAGCCAGCTGGGAGGCCGGTGGTTAATGCCTGCTCCGCGGACAGAGCTGCTGGCCTCGCCACCTCGGGCGGGACACTGAGTGACCCGGGACGATGCCACATGGGTAGCGAAGATGCCGCATCCTGTGTTCTTAACGCTGATTAGAACGTCACTCTCGTTCCATCGTCTGGAGTGTTCTCCCAGCTCCCCGAGGCGGAGTTTCTGCGGGACAGAGAGGACCATGGGTCTGGGGACTGGCGATCGGTGTGGAGTCCCAGGGTAGCCCCAGAGCTTTGGGGGAGATGGAGGGTCAGCTGCCGTTTGGAGCTGCAGATGCAACTCAGCAGGTGTGCGGGGGGAGAGCGGAGGCCACCGACGAGCTGGAACGGCAGTTTCTGGAGGTTGAACCCAGTCGGGAAGCCTTCCAGCCGTCTCAGCCGCTCGGCGTGAGGTGCCCCGGAGCCAGCGAGGGCCTGGCCTAGTTTCCTCCGAGCGGAGCCTTCCTGGTGCTCCCGAGCCGAGCACCCGCGGGTGCGCTGAGGCCCTTCCCAAAGTGGAGCATGGTCTCCATTTAGTACCTGGCCAGAAGTTTCTAAACTCAAGTGTTTCTATTTTAGAAACTGCGAGGGCAGAGTGGATTCTAGCGTCTTCTAGGAAAGTCTGGTGGGGCTCAAACCGCGTTGAGTCTGAGTGCTTCAGGGCTCAGCGGCCGCCGTTACCTGTCTCGCACTGATTGATTCATTATGCACGACGCTGGGCCTCACGTCCGGTGAACATGACCCCTGGCCTGTGCGTGGGTTTTCCAGCAGTTGCCCGGGATTGAGCTAAATAAACAAGTCCATCTGTGACGCGTCCTCTCTCTTCTTGGCAGAGCGCCGTGGCGGAGGTGACAGGCTGGAGCCCCTGGCGCTCCCCCACTACCCCCTCCCCCTGCAGTGTCTGGTGCCTCCCAGAGGGCAGACCCCTCCTCCTGAAGCCCCTCCTGCCTCTTCCGAATTGCTGGTCACCGGCCTCGCGTCTTAACAGGTTTCCCAGGCGAGGGTGGTGACCCCTCTGGAACGGGGAGGCGGGGTGCTCAGGCCCAGACATGCTGGGAGGGTCCCTCCAGGTGCGGCCCCGAAAGAACTGGACGTCTCTGCCTGCTGCCTCCCTTCTCTTCCCCAGTGGGCTCCCGCTTTTCTGGAAACACAGCAAGGGGCAGCCCCACGGGTGGCTGAGCACCAGCAGAGCCCATCTGAACAGGGCCTGCTTGACGGTCCTCATCCACACCCTCCAGGTCAGGAGCCACTGGGGCTCTGGTCCTTCAGTGGCGTCTTCTCTGTCCCAGGTACCCGCGGCTCTGGCGTCAGGACAGGGACTCTCTCCCGCAGCCTAGTGACACTTTTGAGAAGCTCCCAGACGTTTCGGTTTTGTAACTGTTACCCGCTGAGGCCCCCGTCTGGGAAAGGACGTCTGTCTTTTATTATTTTTAACTTGCAGGCGCTTCAACCTAGAGGCTCCTAGGAGTCAGGTGTGCAAACAGGGACCGGTTCTGCCAATCCAGCCAGGGGGTGGCCCACCTGCCGCTGCCGCCCAGGAGGAGGACTTCCCAGGCCCCTGGGTCTAAAGGAGGGCTGAGCTCCGCAGAAGCCCAGGTCCAGCAAGCCCCCTGCTCCGACCATCTCCCTGGTGAGTGCAGCCGACCACAGAAGGCTGTCTCGACTCACATGCCTCCAGAAGGTGGCAAGGTAGGGTCCACGGAGCCTGGGGCAAAAGGCACAGGACTGAGCCGAGATTCCTCACTGGGCCCATTTAGAACCTGCGGACCCCTCTTCCCAGCCCCTGATGACTGCAGCGCCCCCACAGTTACTGGGGACACAGTACAGACAGGTTCTACTTGAGTCTCAACAGGAGTAACCCAGAGGACGCTTCCCGGACCGAGCTCCCCGCCCATCCGCCCGCCCGCCGGGACCAGCCCCACCTCCAATAAATGGCCCTGAGTTTCCTTAACATCTTTCGAAGTAGGACAGGCTGTCAGCTGTGTGCTCCGTCTGACTGTGGAAGACGATGGGGCAGGAAGCCAGCCTCAGACTAGACGCTTCTGTGTTCGTACGTTCCCGTAAGGCCCATCACTCCTCGTAGCCTGAGGCCACCAGACCACTGGGACAGAACGGTCCGCACAGCGTGTCTGGTGTGGACGCAGAGCGTGGGAACGCAGTGACGGCCACCTCAAATACAGGGCTAAGCAGCCGCTATACCCCTCAGCCTATGGCTGAGCCGCCCCAGCCTGGCCTTCCCAGCCCCGTCCCAGTGGGCGGCATGAGCGGCGGATGCCGAAGTGGGCACACTGAACCTGATGCTCTTCGTGTTGTAGCTTCAAGGACAAACCCAACCCAGAGTCACCAACTTGACCATGACATGATGCAGCATGTCCTGAGGTGGCTCCGGGGACCGTATGGACCATGGCATGGGGTGTGTCCTGAGGGGCGCTCTGCGGGACTGCAGGAAGGGCCCACTGTCAAATGTCTGGCCAGCACTGGGTGATTCTGGGGGCAACAGGCTTCTTTGCTGAGCGGCTCTCCCGGCCTTCACGGGCCTCCCCCCCGCACAGGCCTGGGGGTGCGTTTCCCACACAGAAGTGTTGGCAGAGCATCGTGCAGGCTCCACACAGGGGTGCTCCAAGGCCTGGCCTGTCAGGGCGGAGGCGCCTCCCCCAGGCCCCCGTGGAGCAGACCCCCAGGCTTGCAAGCCCACCGAGCTGCTCACATGCAACAGGACTGGCCAGGCCTGCATCTGAAGCCCAGTGGGGGACCCAGAGCAGCGTCTGTGTGGGTCACAACTCCGGGAGGGAGCCGTCCTCCACCCTCCTGCTCCAAGCGAGCTGACCCCAAGAACCACCCACTCTGCAGCTGGGCTCAGTTCAGCCACTAGAAACCCAGCGGCCTTTCCTGGGTCTCCAGAGCGAGGCCACTGCACAGACAGTGCGTGGTGGCCAGTGACTGCCCTCCCACTGCCAACAGCTCACAGAAGGTTCTAGAATGATTGAAGACCAGCGCGGACCATGAACCTTTCTGGGCTCTGATAGGGCCCTGGTCCCAAGTCTGGCACTGAGCCTATGGCTGGCGAGCGTATCTGGTCTTAGGAGCAGCAGAAGAGGGCAGGCCGCCATCCATGTGAGTACCCCGCATGGCACCAGTGTCCCCCTACTTTTTCACAGCATGAGGCAGGGGAGGAAGGTGGGACCAGACTCTGGAGATTTCTCTGTCCTCATGGCCCCCAACACCTCTGGGGGGTCAAGTGTGACAGAGCCTGACGCAGAGGCGGTCACCAGCTCTGAAGGCTGAAATAGTAACTTTAGGTCTGTCGATTCTGCTCTCCGACTCGCTCCCCAAATGAAAGGACCGGAGAATGGGGTTATCAGGGAACTTCATTGAGAGAGGGATAAAGGAGAAAACGTTTTTAGGTGGTACCAACGTGTTTAAGCTCAAATGACCCCACTGCCCTCCAACTGTGGCAAGCCGGCCACACAGGCGGCCATGGGGTAGGTCAGACAGGACTGACCCAAGGCCCGGTTCCATCCCATCTGGCTCCCAGGCAGGGCCCACACCGTGGTCGTGTCAGGGTGCTGAGCAGTCTTCTCTTAAAAGCTACTAAGCTGGGGAGAAAGCCCCCCGTGCCGGGCTTCCCGGCCTCAAATCTTGGCAGACAGTCAGGCCCGGAGCTGGCGCCCTGGCCAGGCCCGACCCCAGCTCCCGTCCCCAGGGAGGTGGCTCACATAGGTCTCCCCTGAAAGGAGAGCGAGATCTGCAGGAGCTCCTGCCCCAGTTCTTGCTGCCGCCCGCCGGGACAGAACTCGGCCGACAGCTCCCTGAAGGTGGCGCAGACGCGGCGGGCCTCGACGTGTCTGCGGTGGATGGCGTGCTTCCACTGGTGCCGCGCGGCGCCCGTGAGCACGAGCAGGGAGCGGCGGGGTACGGGGACGGCCACCTCCACCTCCTGGCACAGGACGGACCTGCTGGGGGCCATCACCCCTTCCACCAAGGCCTCCGGGAAGCCAGAAGGGGCCAGACAGAGCAGCAGGCTGCCGGGCGCCTCCCGGGACATGGACAGCACGGTCGAGGACAGGAGGTTGAGGCTCACCAGCCGCTCCCCCCACAACCAGGCGTCATCCAGGTGGGGGTCGATGGCCGAGCCCCGCTCGGGGCAGTAGTCCAGGTTACACTGCTCCACGGGCCGGAAGTCCTCCAGGATGGGGTACAGGCCCATCCTCCGTACCACGTCCCGGCTGAAGCTGGGGAGGCCTCTGAAGCCGGCGGTCTTGAGCTTCTGTTTCCGGAAGTTGACTTTGGGGCCATAGTCCTGAAGGGTGAGGACGGAGAGGAAGTGGAGAAGCGTCTGAGTTTACAGGAATGGCTATCACGGGCCAGGTCTGAAGGATCTGACCGCAGAGACCAAGAGAAGCAAAAAGCCTGGCTCTGGATCAGGATGTGCTCCCAGCGGGAGGCGGCCAGCCCCAGCGGTAAACGCTATGGGAGGAAACGAAGGAGGGAAGGGGCTGTGATGTGCCGGGGCAGGGGGCTGTCTTAGCCCGTGTGCAGGCAGAGAGGGAGGGAAACAGAGGACCTGCGAACAGGCAGTGCGTTCTGGGCCGTGAGGCCAAAGTCAGGATGCGAGACGGAGGAGCCGCGAGGGAGGGAGGGAGGCAGCCTCATCACGTGGTCAGAGCTGGGGATCCCGGGGGTTCAGAACCGAGACAGAGAAGTTCCGCTCCCGGCTACACGCCCGGGACTGGAAACACGGCCATGCAGACACTTGCCGATGGGTGTTCACGGCGACACCGGGGCACAACAGCCAAAGGGCGGGCACAGGCCGGTGTCCGTGATGGGACAAATGGATGAAGGGGTGGGGGCAGGTCCACACAAGAGGGCCATCTGGCCACAAACGCCACGCGGCACTGTCGGGGGGAGAAGCCGACAGAGAGGGCCACGTGTTCTATAATCCCATTTACGTGAGATGTCCGGCACAGGCAAAGCCAGACGGAAAGATTAGTGGTTGGCAGGGGACGGGGAACAGGGAGCGACTGCTCCTGGGTACAGATGTCCTTTGCGGGTGACAGGCAGGCAGTGGAGAAGGTTGCACAATCTGAATAGAGCAAACTGTACATGTTAAATGAGCGAATTTTATGGTCTGTGGATTCTATCTTAAAAAAAAGCAATTGTTAGGGAGGAGGCTTCCAGAACACCCCTCAGACTTGTGGCCCAAGGGATTGAGCATTTATCCACCGACTCCTCCCCTCGGGCCCCCCACCCAGTCGTGAGTGGTGGTATCCGGTGCAAATGTCTTTCTCCTTCCAGCTTCAGTGTGTCAGCGTGGCTGGGTGCCCCGAGCAGCGGCAGGCGGAGAAGGAGCTCGGGGTGCAGCGCACAGAGAGGTGTGACCTGCGGCATCTCCGGAGCACAGAGGCGGCTTACAGGGACCCCACAGAGCAGCGGGGGGAGCGGAGGTTGGGATGGGAGGCCTGGTGGGTTTGTAGCGGAGCAGTGGGTCCATCTGAAGAGGGGGGCCGGACCCCGGGAAGCTCCAGAAGGAATCCCAGCAGCAGAAGTGGGTGGGGGCCGTGGGGGCAGTGGGAGTGCAGAGTGCTGTGTTCTCAGATTCCGGGTATGTTTTGAAGGAAGCAAGTGGACAGGGATGACCAGGGCGAGGGAGAGAAATCTGGAGAGCTGCACAGTTTCCGGCTTGAGCAGATGGAAGGGGGAATTTGCCACACTGGGGACACTGCGGGGGCACCGGGATGGGCCAAGACTCAGTGAGGGTCTGACGAACACGGGAAGCTGGCTGGAGACACAAACGTGGGAGTCACAAACACACGCACGGTGTCAGAGTCGTGACTCACGGAGACCAGCCAGGGAGCTCGGGCAACGGAGAGGCCCCAGGGCTGGGCCTGACAACTGGCCACTGGGTGGGGGCGCGGAGGCCAGGACCCAGGGTGGAGGCGGCAAGGGCGTGAAGCGGGAGCAGGAGACACAGTAAAGACAGAATAGACGACACTACGGAGAAGTTGGCTGCAGAAGTGGGAGGGGAGCTTACAGGTGGTCTGGGGGAGAAGATCCAGTTGAGGTAAGAATGACGTCAAGGACAGAGGGGAGAAGGGTCGGATAGTACCTCGGAGTTCAAGGGGGGCTTGGAGAGAAGCCTGGCTTGGGGGTTGAGAAGGGCACGGCCCGCGTGGCTTTCTCGGGGTGGCGGGTAGAGGGGGAAGGTCCAGAAGGTCCAGTCTCCCCGGGGGAGACTGATGTGACCGCCGGAGCAGGGCGGCAGGGCATGAGGCCAGCAGCCAGAGGAGCCGGACTTGCCCGGGGCTGGAGTTCAGCAGACGGAGCAGGACAGTGGGGGGGGCGACAGGGCACAGGAGCCCCAGGGGAAGTGGTGTGATGATCTGACAGGCCTGAAGTCACTAGGAGGGAGGGAGGGAGAGAAGGCGGACAGTACTGCCAGGAAGAGGCCAGGACTTGGGGGTCCGAGTATCTCAAAACTGATGGGGGAAGGACTTGAGCGGGAAGGTGAGCAGTGGCCTCTAAAAACCCTGAGAGCGGAGCATCAGTCTGCCCTACGGCCCTGCTGCACCGCATCCGGTGCGTCTGGTGGGAAGCGGAGAAGTCCAGGCCTGCCTGTGCCCCTTCCTCCAACACACGCCACACACCGCTCCCCTGGCTGCCCAAGTCCCAGGGTCAGGGGAGCTCACCCCCTAACGGCCTTGGGGTGCTTGGCTGCAGAGAGAGGCGCTGGGAGGGATATGAGCAAAGGGGTGTGGGGCAAGGAGTCCGGAGCGGCCCAGCAGGATGACTCCTCCCTGACCAGCCAGCCCGGTCCTCCCCGCCTCCCCAGGCCTACCTGCTTCCTCCGTCCAGACTGGGAGAGCTTCCAAGGCTCCCGGTCCATCAGCTGCACCATCTCAGCTTCCTCCTCCCGGGTCACAAAATCCTCTATCAGCGTCACACCGGGGAAGGGGAAGGCCCAGCCTTCAAAGTCAGACTCCTCGGCCCCCACGGCCCAGCCAGTGTCAGAGTAGTAAATGAAACGGTGCGTTTTCTGCAAAAGAAAGAGGAGGGACCTGAAGCCCCTGAAGCCACTTTGGAAAGCAGCTGGGGTCCGGAGGGAGGCAGAACCCCTCCCCACCTGGGGCTGCCTCCTGGGAAGGGCCCTTTGCCCGTCCTTTCTCACTTTCCTCATCTTACAGGGAAGAGCATCCACGTAACTACTCTCTGCTCTCTGTTTTAAAAATGAGGTGACCCAGCCCAGCAAAGTTAAGGAATGAGCCTGAGGCTGCACAGCGGGGAGCTGCCTGGGAGTCCACACTGTGCTAGTGTTGCTGTGGGGTGTCCTCCGGCCTCCCTGGCCATGGGGGGCGGGGGACTAAAGGAGAGGAACCCAGGGCTCTCCAGAGGGCGAGCATGCTGGGCAGCCAGAGGGGAGAGGCCGTCTCCGCGGTGGGGGTGACTCTGGGCCCCGCCCCGCTCTGCGGCTGCAGAGGCACTGCCTGAACTTTCATTCAAAAGAGAGAACTTGCCAGCCATCCTTGAGGAGTGCCCAGCGGACAATCTCCTGCCACCTCAAGTTTGGGGCAAAGGCCACCCTGGTCCCAGGCAGCCCCCAGCCAATGACTCAGCACAGGTCTGGCTCTTTCTACCCAACTCGGGACTCCTCTATCTATCAGTCTGCTCAGGAGCTCCCAGCTGGACTGGCCATGACTTTGTCCCAGCTGCATGGCAGTCTGAGGTCCGCCCCGTCCAGTTAATTCTCCTTTACCCCAAACCCTTTACATTTCATGGCCCCTCCTGCCCACCCCGGCTGGGAACCATCGTGTCCTCCGTCTTCTGGCACCTCACACAGAACACATTGAAATCGGGGATCACCCTGTACCTTCTGCTCATCCCACAGCCAGCAAGTCGGGCTACCCCCACACCCGCGGGAACGGGCACAGTTCAGACTCTCGGCACTTCTCAGGCTTTCCTTGTAGCCAAAATATACAGGACATAAAACTGCCATCGTCACCATCTTTAAGTGTACAGGTAAATTAAATTCAGTCACGTTGTCCTGCACCCATCCCCACCTCTCTAAAACTCTGGACTTGAAACAACGCTTCGCTCTTTTCCGCAAGCCCCAGGGACCCACCATGCTACTTGCTGACTCTATGAATGTGATTCCTCTACAGGCTTCACGGAAGCGGAATCCTGCAATATTTAATCCTCTCGTGAGGGACCTTTCACTCAGCATAATGACCTCAGGATCCATTCAAGTCACAGCAGGTGTCTAACGCCCTTCAAGGCACATGACATTCCATGGGACACAGGCCACGTTTGTTTACCCGCTCGGCCACTGCTGGACACTTTCACTGCTTCCATGTCGTAGCTACTGGGAACCACGGTGCTAGGAACGGGGGCGTACAGGTCTCTCATCAAGGGTCTTCTTTCGATTCTACCCAGAACTGCTGGATCACACGGTAATTCTACTTTTCGTTTGCTGAGACATCACCAGATCACTTTCCACAGGACCTTCCAAGCTTTGACCGGGGACGCTGTGGGAGTTTCTGCACTGGCTTCCCAGACTCCATACCTTCCCATCTGCCTCCCCATGTCCTGGGACCTTTCCAAAACTCACCCCTAACTTCCTTTAAAACCCTGAGCGGCTCTCCGGGGCCCTCAGAACAAGTCCAGCCTACCCAGCCACCACACACAGAGCCCTCTGGGTCAGGGCGGCCAGCCCCTGAAGCGTCAGGCTCCTTCCAAGCCCAGGGACCTGCTCCAGGCCTGTACCCAAGCAGTCCCCCAGCGGGAACGCCCTTGACGCGGCCCACCCCCACCCCCGGCCCGACAAAGGCTCTGGATCCTTTTTCCTTAATTGGAATTAATTTCCTCCTTGACCACTTCTGCTCAACGGTGTCTAGGGCACTTTGCCCTGCCTGGTTTTCGGCATCCTCTTTCTCTTTCCTGGTCGTCTCCCCACTTCGTGAAGCTCGCAGTCCCGGACGCAGGGTAGGGGGCGCGGGGCGGGGGGCGCTACGTGGAGGTTTGCTGTCACACTCTCCCCAGGACTCAAAGGGGAGTTGTGGTCGGATGGCACCCACTCCAAGCCCACCCCTCAAAGCTCTCATCTCATCCTGCAACGCCCCCACAGCGAGGGCCCTTGACAGGGGTTGATCCGGGGCCCGTTTCCGTAGCCAGTCTGGGCCTCAGTTTCCCCGTATGAAGAAGGGAGTTGTGGTACGGCCCCTTCCCCAGCCCTCACCTGCGGGGGGTGCTGCCAGGGCGGGTCACCTCCGCGCTGCCTCTCGCAGATCAGACAGGTCCGGATGCCCTTGCAGCCGCATTCCCGGAGGACCTCTGGGGCAGCCACCGCCGCAGCCGCCATCGTCGCGTCTTGGCGACCAGGGCGCAGGCGCGGAGCCGCGGGGGCCGCTGGGAGTTGTAGTCCGCCCGCGGGACAGGAGGTACGCGGGGCCGCTTCCTTCCGGTCGTCGCGCGGCGCCGCCTCCAGAGTTCCGCCGGGGACGGACGTTAGCGTCTGTCTCTAGGAGGCACGGACTCGGCCGGACGCCGGTACCGCTAACCGGCCAGCGCGGGCCGTGCCTCGTCGCCATGGGCCCTCTGTCGGCGCGGCTGCTCATGCAGCGAGGGCGTCCCAAGAGCGACCGACTGGGGAAGATACGGAGCCTGGAGTAAGAGGCGGGACGGGGGGCGACGGGGGTCCGCGGGGCCGCGGCCACACAACCCGCCACCCGGGCCTGGGTCGCCGGCCGATCGGGAAGTAAGGCTGGGACCCTTGCCCACTCCCTGCCTGGCCCCGTTATCGCCCTGTCGGTTAGGCGGAGTCTCCGACACTCGGGCCGAACGCTGGGCTCCTGTTAAGAGACGGGCGGGCTGGGGCCCCGAGTGGCCTCTCCCTGGAAGGGGTCCCGGCTGTGGGGGAGACAGCCCTGCAGAAAGCGTGTAGAGCAGCCTGGCCTTAGCAGGCGCCCAGGACTGCCCCAGGTGTGAGGCCTGCCCAACCGCCTGAGCCCTCCCTGTCTGCCCCCACCCAGCTTGTCGGGGCTGAAGCTGCTCTCAGAGCACTTGGACCCCAAGCTCCTGAGCCGCCTGACGCAGCTTCAAGAGCTTGACCTCTCCAACAACCAGCTGGAGACGCTGCCCGCCAACCTGGGCCTGTCCCACCTGCGCGTCCTCCGCTGCGCCAACAACCAGCTGGGGGACGTCACTGCCTTGTGCCAGTTCCCGCAGCTCGAGGAGCTCAGCCTGGAGGGCAACCCCTTCCTGACTGTAAGTGGGGGCCCCCACCTGCCCCAGACCCAGGGCCAGCACTCCCGCGGGGCTGAGCCACAGCTTGGGGCGACACTGAGCCGCTCTCCCTCATCCCCCAGGTCAGTGACAACCTGAAAGTCTCCTTTCTCCTGCCCAAGCTCCGTAAGGTCAATGGCAAGGATGCTTCGTCCACCTCTTCTCAGGTGGAGAACCTAAACCGGGAGCTGACCAGCCGGGTAAGGGGGCGGACCCACGTCTCTGGAGTAGTCGGGGGGCCTTGAGGAGCGAGCGACAGAATGGACGTTCGGAGGACCCCGAGGAGGCGTTCCGGGGACTCTCTGCCCTGACACTGAGCGGCGTCTATCCCTTCGCCTGATGTGTTACTTTGAGCCTGGCTGTGGTGCTTGGCCTCTTTCAAGGAAGGTCCTGCTCTCTGGGTGTGCAGGCAGGGCCCAGCCAGGGACCAGAAACTACCGAGCCGCCGCCGCCGCCGCCTCCTGTTCCTCCTCCTCCTCGGGGCTGCTGTGTGTGTGTCTGTGCACGCGCATTCTGTGTGGGTTTGTGCACACTGCCGCTAAGGCTGTAGTTCAGGGAGACTTCCAGGAGGCGTTGAAGTGGAGACACCTGTGCCCATGAGATTGGAGGCAGGGGTCCAGGAGATCTGGGGTGGACTGGGGTTGAATCTGGTCCCTCTTGTTCCAGGTCACAGCTCACTGGGAGAAGTTCAAGGCTGCACTGAGCCCAGGCGAGGAGGCAGAGAAGGCCCAGGCTGACTTTGTGAAGTCTGCTGTCAGGGACATCCGTTATGGGCCTGAGTCCCTCAGCGAGTTCACCCAGTGGCGGGTATGACCTAGTCTGCTGTGCTCAGAGTCCATTCTCCCAGCTCCTTGATTGGATCCAGCTGCCTTAGAGGCCTCTGGCCATAAGGGGTGGTAGAGAGTGGGGTGGGTCAGGGAAGGGAGACTTATTGGTTGGAAAAGCCCTTTCCCGGGCGCCTGGGTGGCTCAGTGGGTTAAAGCCTCTGCCTTTGGCCCAGGTCATGATCCCAGGGTCCTGGGATCAAGCCCCGCATCGGGCTCTCTGCTCAGCGGGGAGCCTGCTTCCCTTCCTCTCTCTCTGCCTGCCTCTCTGCCTACATGTGATCTCTGTCAAATTAAAAAAAAAAAAAAAAGGCCCTTTCCCACCTCGGGAAGCAGAAGTTCCCTCTGCCCCAGCATTTGGGAGAGGGGCCCAGGGCCCCTAGGACTGTATCTAGTTCCCCAATGTCCCCACCCCACGTAGGTGCGGATGATCTCTGAGGAGCTGGTGGCCTCTGGTGGGGCCCAGGTGCGTGAGGCAGACGTCCCGGAGAGGCCTCCAGAAGCCCCAGCTGCCCAGGAACCCAGGGTAAGTGTGGTACCTTGCAACTCCCAAGGCCTGCCTAGGGAGATTGTAGGGAAAGGGGATGGGGCAGGGGTCCTGGAAATGAGCCCAGGTGACGGTCCCTGATGCCTGAGCTCGTTCCCACTAACCCTGGGCCAGCCCTTGCTTTCTGCCCCCGTGAGAGGGTGCAGGCCAGCCTGTGATGCTGGGGAAGGAAGCGCCAGGCAGATGGGCCTGTGGCCCCCAGGCCTTCAGCCCAGCCCCGACCCCCTCCACAGGCCAGGCCCGTGGCTGTGAAACGGCCGGATGAAGTCTCACTCAACCCGTCTCCCAACAAGCGGGTGTGTACCTCCTCTTCGGTCTGCGTGGAGGGCAGCGCCCCGGGCTCTGATGGCAGCCGGGTAAGCCAGCCAGGGGGCAGGGAGCAGCCGGCAGGGAGCACAGGCTGGGGCAGCTGTGACGCCCCCTCTGCCCCCACAGCCTGCGCTGGACCTGGAGCCCCTGCACTTCCTGCAATGTCACAGCAAGAACAACAGCCCTCAGGACCTGGAGACCCAGCTCTGGGCCTGCGCCTTTGAGCCGGCCTGGGAGGAGGGTACAGCCACGGCGGGCAGGCAGGGCCAGGGCGAGCACCCCAGGGAACCGGCAGGACCAGCTGTCTAGACAGGGGGCCCAGGGACACTACCTGGAGGGGGCCGCCTCGGTGGATGGGGGTCCTGGGAGAGACAGCCCCTGGAGCATCGTCAGGGCCAGGAAGGACAGGCTGCAGGGGCGGACTTCGCAGACGACGTGTTTACTGAGGCTGACCCCTCAAAACAGGGCACGCGGGGGCCACCTCCCAGACGGTGGCCACGTGCGGTGGGGAGGCCGTGTGTGTGATAGACTGCCAGACGGGCATCGTGCTGCACAAGTACAAGGCCCCTGGTGAGGTGAGGGCCCAGGGCTGCTCCCGTGGGGCGAGGGGGCAGGGAAGGGGCGGCAGATGACTTGGTCCCGCTGGGTCTCGCTTCCACTGGCCGGAGCTCCCTGGCATGCGCAGCTCTGCCCCTTAGTGACCCCACTCCCCCCTCCGGCCCCCATCCCCACCCAGGAGTTCTTCTCGGTGGCCTGGACAGCCCTGACCGTGGTGACGCAGGCCGGCCACAAGAAGCGCTGGAGCGTGCTGGCAGCCGCGGGCCTGCGGGGCCTGGTCCGGCTGCTGCACGTGCAGGCTGGTTTCTGCTGCGGGGTCATCCGGGCCCACAAGAAGGCCATCGCCACCCTCTGCTTCAGCCCCACCCATGAGACCCACCTCTTCAGTAAGACCCTCTCCCATGTCCCTGAGGGGGCCCCAGCATCCTGTCCTGCAATCCGGGACGGGAGGGAGTGCCCTGGCTGGTGGGCATCACCACGGGTCACCGGGGTCAGCTCCGGCCAGGCCAGAAGCAGTGTGGCTTGGTGGACGACTGACAGGGCTTTAGCTCCTGCCTTCTCCCCCTCTGTGGCCTGGAAGCCAGGTGGCTGGGCCACCCTGTGACCTGGGTGCTAAGTGTGCTAAGCCCAAGAAGGGATGTGTGAGCCTGGCACGGGCCGTGGTAGCAGAGAGTGAGGTAGAGACTGGTGGTCCTCAAATCTTCCACGTCCCAGCTGTGGCCCTGCACACCTTGGCGGGGTGGGTGGCCTTGCGACCATGGTCTCATCCTGGAATGGAGCCTGCTGGAGCGAACGGGGTCTCCTCAGAGCCTCTTCTCCCCTTCCCCGCTCAGCGGCCTCCTATGACAAGCGGATCATCCTCTGGGACCTTGGGGTGCCCAACCACGACTATGAATTTCAGGCCAGGTGAGGCTGGGGGCTGGGCCGGGGGCTGCCAGGGCGGACAGACGCCTGGGTCCGAGGCCTCACCATCTCCCCGCTGGCAGCCAGCTGCTCACCCTGGATACGGCGTCCATCCCTCTGCGCCTCTGCCCCGTGGCTTCCTGCCCAGATGCCTACCTGCTGGCCGGCTGCGAGGGTGGCTGCTGCTGCTGGGACGTGCGGCTGGACCAGCCCCAGAAGAGGAGGTGAGGCTGGCCGGGGAGGCCTTGAATGCCAGCCTCAGAGCTGTCCAGATGCCTGACCCCCAGCACATCTGCCGGGGGTGGGACTTAAGCCCCGCCCCATCCCGAGCAGCCAGGGGCTGCTTTCAGGGGCCTCTTCATGGGGCTGGCCTGTCCCCACCTCCTCTAGTCTCTCAAGGAAAGGTCCGTGCCTCATTCCTCACGGCTGCTTAGCTGTGGGACCGGGCCGGGGCAGCTCTCGGAGCCGTGTTCACTTCACCTTGGAGGGGCGGTCAGGGATGGTGTCCGGACAGGGATGAGGCCCCGGAAAGGCTCCTCTGTACTGCCCGGAAGGCTTGGGCCCGTGCTTAGGCTGGCCCCCTGCCCTCGTGCGGCCCACATCCTTACAGAAGGTGGCCTGTTAGTGCCCCCAAAGCGTAGTGTCAAGTGTGAAGGAAGGAGAGTAAGGGGACGATGAGGAGGTGAGTGGCGGCGGATGGGCACAAGCCTAGATCCCAACAGGGGAGCCCGCAGGCAGCAGGAGGGAAGGTGCTGGCACAGGGGTGGTCCCACCAGGGAGGTCCGGTCCAGCCTGGGAGGTGGGAGGACGTGCCACAAGGTAAGGTGGCAGCTTGGGCCAGGGGAAACGGGCTCCATCTGCTGGGGCAAGACTGAATTTTGTCCCCAGTGCGGTGAACAGTCTGGGAAGACCTTCAGGGGCGGGGTGACAGCAGTGAAGCAGCTGTGACGTGGGGGCAGGTAGCAGAAGTGTCAGGCCCAGCGGTGGCCTTTGTCCAGCCAAGTGCCTGTGTGGGCCCCTGCCACAGCTGGGAGTGAAGCCCAGGGCTTCCGCTGCTCCCCGCTCAGCGCGCGGTCTGCCTGGCCCCAAGCCCGGTGGCGGTCATGCGGCAGAGGTGTCTGCTTCTCCTTGTGTTGACATGTGGCTGCCTTTGCAAGCACCGTGTGACCCCGCGTGCATCTCCACTGGAGACCGTGCGGCAGCCACTTGTTCCCCGGCCCTAAGTCCCTGCCTCTCCAGACCCTTCCTGTCCCGTGCCAGCCTGCACCCCGGCCGTGCCGCCTCCCCTTCCCGGGCCCAGAACCCAGCTCCGTGGGTGCGTCTCCCGGAGCGGCTTCCTGGGCCGTGGGGTGGCTCACCAGCACCTTCTGTCCCCCAGGGTGTGTGAGGTGGAGTTTGTGTTCTCCGAGGACTCGGAGGCAGCTGGACGGAGAGTGGACGGGCTGGCGTTTGTGAACGAAGATGTGGTGGGTGAGTAGACCCTGCGCAGGGGACAGCCTGGCCTCCTGGGAGCCGAGACAGGCCCTGGAAGGCCTCTGGGGGCAGCTTCTCCTGGGGCTGGGGGCTCCTGAGGGGTCCCCCGCGGGCACCATGAAGTGTCTGGCGAGGGGCCCCCGCCCAGCTCCGCTCTCTCCGCACTCCCCAGCCTCCAAGGGGAGCGGCCTGGGCACCATCTGCCTGTGGAGCTGGAGCCGGACGTGGGGAGCGCGCGGCAAGCAGTCCCCGCTGGCGGTGGCGGTGCTGGCGCGGCTGCAGTGGTCCCCCACCAGGCTGGCCTACCTCTCGCTGAGCACCTGCCCCGGTGAGCCCCGCGCCCTGCCCTCCCGCTGCGGCTGTGTCCCGCCCGGGCCGCTTCTCACTCTGAGCCTCCGGCAGATGAGGGGATCGTGCTGTGTGGGGACGAGGAGGGCAACGTGTGGCTCTACGACGTCCGGGACCTCCTGAGCCAGCAGGCGCCGCTGCCGGCCGCGCCACAGGCCCCAACGCAGGTAGGCGCCCTTGCCGGCCCCCCGCCCGCTGCGGAGGCCGTGAGCAGGAAGCTGGAGCCCCGCCCCCCTCTTTTGCCCCCCCCCCCCCCAGATCCTTAAGTGGCCCCAGCCCTGGGCCCTCGGCCAGATGGTGACCAAGACGATGGTGAACACGGTGGCGGCCAACCGCACCTTTACCTACCTCACGGCTCTGACGGACTCCAACATCGTGGCCATCTGGAAAAGACAGTAGCCAGCGCAGGGCTCCTGCCTCTAGGGAGGTGCGGGAGTTCTGGGGGTCCGACTTAACCTATTCAGCTCCGGGGCAAACGACGAGACTGTTTTTATTGGGGAATATTTTTATTAAATTCTCTGCTGTGTACAAGGCTGGAGAGCTGCTTGGGGCCCGGCTGGTGCGCCGACGCGGCGTGAGGCCGGCCGAGCCGGTGAGCAGAGGCTGCCTGGCTGCCCCCCAACCCCCGGCCTGGCCTGGGTTCCCGAGAGCTGGTCTAGAAGGAGTTCAGTCCCACCAGCTCCTCAGCCAGGAATCCGGGGTGCAGGGCCCGTCCACGATGGGAAACCAGTCCTCGGCCTCCGCGCGCCCCATGCACCTGCTGCCGCCGCAGCCCCCAGCCAGGCCTCCTGCTGCTCTTTATCAGGAAAGCGAAAGACTGTGCAGGACACGCCGGTGGGGACGGGCTCACCACGATGTCCGCGACGCCGGGGAAGCTGCTCTCCTCTACTGGGAGCTGAACAATGTTCCAGCGCAGCGTAGGAGCCGGCCCAGCAACACTCCTCCTGCTGCTACTCGATGCCCTCTTGCTTGTCTTTAATGGCCACCTGAGTGGAGGGGGCGGTGGCCGCTTAGCTTAAAGGACCACGGTGAGGAGGCAGCCCCGTGGCCCTGCACGCCCCCCACCCCATCTGCGTGAGGCGCAGGGGCCACGGTAGTGGACATGGAGGCAACCCCGTGGCCCTGCACGCCCCCCACCCCATCTGCGTGAGGCGCAGGGGCCACGGTAGTGGACATGGACAAGCAGGAGTCTCTCCCCTACACCCAGGTCAGACTCTGAGGCCCTCTGCGTGGACAGGTGTGACCACCCCTCTCGGCCTCCTTAACTGTGGGGCCCCACCCTGGGATGAGCTGCCCCTACACAAACACCCCGGAAGTGGCTAGGCCTTACCAGAGAAGGCTCGGGGGAGCAGTCCCAAAGGGCCGCAGGAGCCCTTGGAGCAAGCACTCCGGTTCCCACCCGTGCCTGCACCCAACAGGCCCCCAGCCTTAACGCCCTGCCCCTCGTCCACGTCCTCTGGAACCACCTCCCCCCACGCCCCCTAGAGCTTAGGACACTCTCCACGGGCTGTCCGGGCTGTGGGCACGAGGACACCGCAGCTCCGGGCAGACCCAGCGCCGCTCACCCGGAAGCGCTCCTCCAGCAGGGAGAGCTCGCTGATGAGGTCCGTGATGGCATTGGTGAAGGCCTCCTGCGGGCTGTAGTCCGGGGTGGTCTGCACCCGGATGATGATCTTGTGCTCCAAGGGGTGGGGGACTTTGTAGCCAGCGAACAGCACCTGCGGGTCCTTCAGCAGCTGTCTGCGGGGGGATGTGACACGGGGCGCTGAGCCGAGCACCCCTGGGGATGACCAAGCTCTAACCAAGGCCTCTTCCCACTGGGTTGAGGCCTGGAAGCCAGTACAGCTGGGGGGGCTGACCCCAGCAGGTTCCCTGCTCTTGATCCCCGCCCCCCGCAAAAATCTACCAAGTGAAACATTCCAAAAAAGACAAAGACACACACACACACACACACCCCACCATCACCACCCCCCATGGGGACCACACACACACACACACCCCCTCCAAGGACCCCAGCTGCTAAGCAGGATCTCCAGCAAACTCTTCCCTCAGGAAGCAGGGGACCCTGCGACTGCCTCAAGGAGCCTGCCCAGGACGAGCATCCGACAGCTATAAAGGCAACAGGGGGAGAAGGTTCGGGCCCTGAGCAGTTGGTGAATGGAAGTCCTCCGGGCAGCACAGGCTGGCAGCTGCCGCCCGCAGCCCTGGGGCCCTGTCTGCAAGGCTGTGCGGCCTGCGTGTGCGTCCGCGCGCCATGCCCTGGGCCCACGGGGTCCTCGACAGCAGCTCGGTCAGCGGTGCGCACCACGAGGGAGGGCCCTTGCATAGGTGGGGACACGGCTCCCAGAGCAGGGGATCAACAAAGCCCTAGAAGGGCCTGGGGGCACCACTGGCGTGGCAGAAGACCGCCAACTCCACCTCCTGGGCTCCCGCCCGGGACCCCACACGTGCACACCGCGGAAAGACCCGGCTTCACCCATGGTGCCTTCAGCAGAGAAACGACAAGACCTCAGACCAGAACAGTGACCACATCGCCAACCTCCTAGCTGCTCAGGACTACACTGGTGTAAACACGCACCCACCGGCCCACAACCGCTGTCCACCGGGGCACTGGCTAGCCGCAGAGCCTCTCCCACCTTCTCCCCTCCTAATAAGAGCCAATGTCTGGCACATCTGTCTGTGTGTACCAGCTGTCCCAGAGACCATCGTCCCGAAGAGGGGTGGGTGGCAGCACGCCCGACCGCCCCTCCCTGCTCTTCAGCACAGAAACACAAGCAGGCCACGTTTCTCTGGCTCGCCCCAGATAACTCAGACACACGGCAGTGTGATCGGATCGAGGTCAGCGTCATCTTGGAGAGAATGAACTGGAATGCGGGAACTGCCAAAGCAATCCCCCAGACCTTCCTGCAGCTCAGAGACTGCGGGAAATCTTCCCGAATGTGTGCTTTGCCTCAAAGACCCCCAATAAACGCTTTCCAAGAGCCTTTGACGTGGAACTTACGATTTAATGATGTTTCCTAGCGTGTGGTCTTCTTTATTGATGGTGAACAAACAGGCATTGGGTACCTTGGTGTCCTTGTTAATGGTAATCCTGGGAAGAGGACGAAGCAACAGGTGAGGACACAATCTCTTCAGCCATAAAGACCTCTCGGATTCAGAGCAGCAGAGGGGCTACACCCTGATTCTGCAAGACCCTCACCTGCTCTGGACTGCTCCTTGGCACCAGTGACATTTTAGGGTGGATAATTCTACTCCGTAGGGCGCTGTCTTGTACACCGTAGGATATGAGCACCATTTCCCGGTCTGTACTCACGAGCAGCACCCCCTTTGTGACCATCAGAACTGTTGGCAGACGTTGAAAAAGTCCCCTGGGGAGCAAAATGGCCCCAGATGCCAACCACTGTTCTCAAGGACGACGAAGAGGCTGGCAAGGGCTAGACCGCAGAGCCCTGCATACCAGGCTGTTAAGAAAAAGCCAGCGTTGGGGCGTCTGGGTGGCTCAGTGGGTTAAGCCTCTGCCTTCCACTCGGGTCATGATCTCAGGGTCCTGGGATCGAGCCCCGCATCGGGCTCTCTGCTCAGTTGGGGAGCCTGCTCCCCCCCCTCTCTCTGCCTGCCTCTCTGCCTACTTGTGATCTCTCTGTCAAGTAAATAAAATCTTAAAAAAGAAAAAGCCAGTGTTTCAGAGGGTCTTCTGCGTGCTGAGCCCTGGCCTAAGCACTTTCAGTAAATTACCTCGTTAAGCTCCCCTCGGAGAACATCCTGTGATTGAATGCAGCAGGAAGCCTGTTTACCAGAGAAGGAAAACACGCCTCGGGCAGCTTAAGTCATTTGCCCAAAGACATGAAGACGTTAAGTGAGGGAGCCAGGCGGAGAGACCAGGGGACCACATTCCCTTGCTCGCTGCAGGCAAGGAGCCCCTGTAAGCTCCTCACAGGCCACTGAGGATCGGTCGTGAGCCGGAGAGCCAGCCCTTGGCTTGCAAAGGCGGCGGCCAGGAGGCTGCCGGATCCCACAGGGAAAGCACTGTGGCGCCGGGCACCCTGGTTCCCATACACACCGCCCCTTCCCGTGGGCCCAGGCAGGTCCCTAGCCTCTCCGCGCCTCGGGTTCCTCCTCTGCAGCACGGGGCCACTGACAACCGCCCCGCAGGGCTGGCTCAAGTCCGCAGACACAGTAAAAGCTGCTTCCGTCTCCCCGCTGTGGACGAGCCCGAGAAGCCCCAGAGTCCGCCTGCGACCCCGGCCCACCCCTCGCCGGCTCCACTTACTTTTTCTCGCCCTCGAAGAGCAAGAACGACTCGAAGGCGGGAGGCGCGTTCATCCTAGCGCCGCACCAACGTCCAAAGTCGCAACAGCCGCCACCACCGCCAGCAAAGCCCTATAACACCACCTCTTCCGGGTTAGCGACTGCTTCCGGGTTGCGGCTCCGCACGCCCCCAACGCCCTCCCCACCCGCGAAGTCCGGCTGCTTGCCCCCTAGCGGCCCGGGGGATGTAGTGCAGGCGCGAGAAAAGCCCGGGGACAGAGAGGGGCCGGTGGTTCTGCGCATGGGTGAACCGGGTTGCATCCACGCGTTCGCCGCCCGGTAGCTGTGCTTGGGGCCCCGCTGGCAGCGCCCGGGACTGCTCTGTGCGCGGTGCAACGGCCTCTCTCCGCTCCCCGTGATCCTTCTTTGGAAATGTGCCTTTGGAACACCCAGCGCGGGGCCCTCAAGTGGAGAATGGAGCCGCGGCGCAGGGGGACCGGCGCGGGGGGGGCGGGGAAGCCTCGTGGGCGTCCGGGCCCCGATCGGGGCGGGTGCTGTTAAACCCTCTGCCGAGGCTACCTGCCACCAGAGGCCCCCTCCTCCCCGACCGTGTTGTCGCCGGCTTGCCCAGTGGGCATGTGGCCTGAGCCGCTGGTCGCCTGTCGGGCAGACAGCGGGTGAGGGCGGGGGTCAGGCAGGTGTACCCAGCGGGGAGAGAGGGGCTTGGAGGGCCCAGTGTTGGAGCCCGCTGGGAACGGCGGGTAGTTTGCAGACTGCAGCTTGTCATCAAGGCCCCACCGCGCTGTCTGAAGGAAGGGGCTGGGTCTCCCATTAGCTGCTGGAGCCACAGCAGCTGAGGACCCGTGAAGGAAACCAGAAGCTTCCACACCACTTTCTGAGAAGAGCCATCTCCTACTTGAGCCTTGGGCCCTGGGCCGAGGAAGTGTCATTCCCCCTGAGACCCACACCAGCCTTGACTCTCCAGGCCAAGTGGTGGGAGAGGGGGGCTCTTTAACTGGGAAGGGACAGAAGGCACTGAGGGGATGGTGCCCTAGGGCTGGAACCTCCACCCTCCGGGCCATCCTGGCCAAGTCTGGGCCAAGGATGCTATTAACTGGGCTGGCTGGGGGGAGGGGGCCTCCCTCTCTGCCTGGTAGAACCCAGGGGGCAGGGGGTACATGGGCAGCAGGGCCAGGGCCAGGCACTTACTATAACCCCTCTTCAGGCTGCAGCGGCCACCCCACGCCTGGACCGTTCTGGAGGAGAGGGTGGAAGGTGTCGCTGCTGGGCGGCTGTGTGTGCGTCCCCACTCCGGCCCCAGTGGCAGCCCCATAAAGGCACGCCTCTCTTGTCCCTTCATGTTCTGTATTAGGGTGCAGTAGACCCTGGGGTCTGTACTTCCTGACCACAAGGTCCTGGAAACCCAAGGAGGCTGAACAGACATGAGGGCTTGTGTGAGGCCCTGAAGAAGGAGCCAGAGAACAGGGTGTTGTTGGCGATGGGGGAGGGGCGGTGCAGACTCAGCCGCCCCAGGGCCAGGAAGGGAAGGTGAGGCACATTCAGGCTCTACCCTGTGAGGGATGGAGCAGTGGGACCCAGGGATATGGTGGGGACAGCAGTTTGGGGGAGAAATGAGTCCCCCTGCGATGTGGGGGGGTGGGCAGATGGGTTACACAAAGGCTAAGGATGCGGTGCCGGTCATTGGCCAACCCCAAGGAGCCACGGGAGTCCCCAGGCCCAGGCCCTCCACCGACCCCCGTCACAAGACCCCAGAGCCCAGCAGTCACAGCAGGTTTATTGTCAGCAACAGAGCACCGGCGAAGCTCTCCCAGGGCGCCCAGCCTGTGGCTGGAGGGGAGAGGGGGCGTGGCGGCCAGGAGCTAGGGGATGCTGAGGTCAAGGCCTGGGCGCCTGCGCTCCGTGTTCCCTTCCACCTCTCTGGGTCCAAGGAGCATCAGTTCCCCTGGGTTCGGGCCATCCTAGGGGTGGTTTCTGGCCAGGTCTGCCCTGGGCAGGAGGGAGGGTCCCTGGAGAGTCTGGGCGAGCGCCAGCGATGCCCACAAGAGCCGTGGGGAGCAGCCAGGCTTCACAGAAGAGCAAGAGCACGCCAAGTCCCCTAGAGACTTCGGGCAGCCAATGACGGGCCTTCTGGACCCCCTGGACCTCCAACTCACCCAGCCCATGACAGCCCTAAGCCCTGCTCCCCCAGGAGTGGGAGTGAAGAGCCAAAAGCGCACCGGGGGTCTCCAAGCACCCGGCAGGGGGCTCGGCGAGGGCACTGGGCGGGGGGCAGGCCTCACGTCTGCAGTGGCCCGGGGTGGCGGGGCTCCGAAGGCGGCGGACTGGCCAGGCCGGAGCGGTGGGCCTCCTGGAGGTCCCGCAGCACCTGCAGAAGCTGGGCCAGCGCGTCCTCGGGGGCTGGAGGCAGAGGCACGATGAGGGCAGAGCAGCCAGGGCCAGAGGCTCCCGGGGGATGCGGCCCCGCCCACAGCACCCCAAAACGGAGCTCAGGCCACTGTGGGAGTCCAGCTGGGAGCAACCTACCTTCCCCCGGGCCAGTGTGCACAGAGCCTGCCTCTGTGCCCGCACTCAGCTCCCGGTGCTTCTCTCTGCAGGGGAGGACAGAGGGACAGCTCGTGGAGCCCTTGCCAAGAAGGCCAGGGAACCCCATGTGGGCCTCCTGAGTGGGAGGGGATTCTGGGAGGGAGGGGCTGACCCCTTCAATCTGGGGGGAAGTAACAGAGGCCCAGGTCGTGGTCCCCCGGCCACCTGCCACCTTCCCTCTTCCAGCCTCCTCGGGTCCTCCCCACCTCCGCAATAGTAGGACGGCGGAAGGTGCTGTGGAAACCAAGTTCGAACCACAGAGGACCCTGGGGGAAGGGGCCAACTGGGGCCCGAAAGTCCCCAGTATTAACTGGCCGTGAAACGACTTTCCTTCTTAGGGGAGTAGGAGACAATGACAATTTAAGCACGATTCCTAACCAGGGTTCACCGGAGATCCCCGAGCCCTCTGAGGTGCGATCCTGGGAGCTTCCATGAAGGGAGAACCAGCAGCCACGGGGACCCCAGGCTTGAAGCTCCTTACTTAGGAATTCCACTGGCTTGGTCCTTTGGACGGTCTCCCTGACCCATTTGGGAAGAGCTGTGTCCCTCTGCTAAGATCTAACACGCTCCTCCTCCCTCAGATGCCTTCTAGGCTGTGGGGTCGGTCCCTGACCCGCTCCGCTCATTTGTTAACTCAACCCTGACTGCAAGAGAAGACATTTGGGTCATTCCCAGCCAAGCGTCCAGTGATCAGTTACAGCAGCCCCAGGCCACTGCGTCAGGGGACCAGATGAGCCGGTGGGGCAGAAGGGCCAGGGCAGACGCTGCAGGATGGCAAGGAGGCGAGGCCGAACGAGAGAAGGGGGGCCAAGCGATTCCATAAATGCGGAGGCTCTCAAGGCACGGGGCTGTGGTCAGGCCCATGGCACTGGTCCCATGGCGGGAACCACCTGAACCCAAGGTAGCCTGGGATCGAGTCTTTGCTCCGCCGCTTCCTGGCTTAAATGGGGGACACAACTGTGGGTCCCCAGAAAAGAGCAGACAGGGTGGTGCCTGTATCTGGTAGGTGGAGGACGATGTCCCCGAGCCAGGGGGCCAGACGAGGGGTGGAGAGGGGGCCGGTGACAGGAGTGACCTGGAAGCTACTGGACACTGCAGCTCCCAGGGGAGTGCGCGGTTCTCGTCCGACCCCATGAGCCCCAGAAGGGTTTCTGAGGACGAAATAACGCCCTGGAAAAGTGGATGAGGAACAAGGACAACAGCCACCACCCCTCCAGGACGCAGGCATGGGGGTGTGCGACAGAAAACCGCCCCGAGGGCACCTGGGTGGCTCAGTGGGTTAAGCCTCTGCCTTCAGCTCGGGTCATGTTCTCAGAGTCCTGGGATCGAGTCCCACATCGGGCTCTCTGCTCAGCAGGGAGCCTGCTTCCCCCTCTCTCTCTGCCTGCCTCTGCCTACTTGTGATCTCTACCGAATAAATAAATAAAATCCTTAAAAAAAAAAAAAAAAAAGAAAAAGAAAAGAAAACTGCCCCGATCCCAGCACACTTAGGGAAACAGGGGCTACTCGGAGGTAAGCCCACACAGCACTGCGCCTCCAGAAATTCTGAGTCTGTGGGGGCGGCCACAGGCATTCTGGTTGTTTCTGTGCGGGAGCCAGGGCCGGGACCAGGCATTAGCAGCTGCCTGGGGACAATCCCTGTGCTCAGGGCACAACGGGAAGGCCGGACAGGCTGGGAGGCTGGGTCAGCCCGAGGCCAGACATAGCCGTGGCAGTGACCCGGGGCCTCTGTATCCTTGGGCCTTCATCCTTGGGTGAGCCCGCCTCCTGCCGTGGAGACCCACGTGCCCCTCCCCCGGTGCGGGGCCACAGGCAGGAAGGGGCCAGACCTGATGTACAGCAGGAGACCAGCCTCTGGGCCCCAGCTCCTGCCCTCTCCCACCACACTCCGCGGGCCACACAGGCCTCCTCACCGCAGTGCGGCCTCCACGCCCAGCAGGTGCCGGCAGATAAGCTGGGCCTCCAGGTCATGGTCCAGAGGGTCATTCCACTCCTGGAGGGTCACCCGCGACCGGGTCTTGTCGCAGCCCAGATCTGGGGACACAAAGAGGGCAGGGTTGCAGATAGGCTCCGTGAGAGCTTATGTCCAACTTCGTGGCAGTACAGGTGGGGACACCGAGGCCTGCAGAGGGACAGGAACGGGCGCAGGGGCCCCAGGAGGGGCAGCAGCTCATCTCTGTTGGGGGCAGCCTCCGAGCCCAGAGATGCACAACGGCCGAGCACGGGAGCCACACAGGAGACAGCTCAGGGGGCTGGACAGCTTTCCCGGTGGCTGCCGGCCTGGAAGGAAGAAGGGAGTGGCCTGGGACCATAAGACCATGGGGACGGAAGCTGGAATGAGCTGGTCTTACGACCTTGGCAGAGGCACTGGCCCCTCCATGAAGCCTCCGTTTTCTCCTCCATAGAATGGGTTACCAGACCCTGCCTCCTAGAGCCCTAGGGAGCCCCCCCCCCTTACCAATAACAAAGGCCATCGCCACAAAGGTCAAAGCCAGCGGCCAACCAACCAGTGACACTGTTGTATAGAGCAGCTGCTGTCCCCTCCCAGACCCGGGCCGGGCTGCAGCAGGTGCGGCGGCCTCCCAGGGACTCCCCGTGTAGCCGGCTCCGAGGGCCGGGTCTCTTCTGAGACCAGGGAGCAAGAGTTTTGCAAAGCAGATGAAGGTAAGAGAAGGAAGGTCTTAACTGAGGTGCCCCACGGGGAAGCCAGCTGGCCGCATAATGCCACTTAAATGCAAAATCGTTAAAATTGCATAAATTAAAACGAACTTAAGTCTCAGCTCCTGGGCCACACTGGGCACACTTTAAGTCTGGTCACACGTGTTCGTGACAAGCACACACACAGTCCTGGGCACCGCTGCCACCATCACGGAAAGTTCTAGCAGCAGCTTGTCTCTGCCGTCCCTCTGGTGCCCGGGGACCGCCCCCACCCCCGCAGCTCCAGCATCAGGCCGCCAGGTGGGAAAGTGAAGCTCAGGGGCCCTCCTGTGCCCAAGGCAGCAAGGAGTCCCTACGGTGTGTCCCTAGAAGCCCTGGTTCACAGACCCCTCCCTCCCCGGGCAAGAGAGGGTCCCTGTCATGTGGGCGAGGGAGTGCTGCGTTACACAGCGTGATGGATGGCACTCCAGCTCGTTTCCAGGCCTCCTCAGAGCCTTCGATGAACACACGCACGGCACCCACACCACACAGCATTTCCCAAACTCCTGTCCCGGAACCCTTCCCGCCTGGAATCCCTGCAGGGACCAACCTGCCACCATTGACTTCCCCGACTTCCCCCAGGTGCACAGGTGGCCCCCCAGCCAGGCCAGCCAGCCACGGCTTGGAAGCCCCGTGCCCCGGCCAGGGAGCCCAGGTGCCGTGTAGGGGGGCCCAGGCCTCCGCTCCCACCTGATTTATCCTTCTGGTGGCAACAGCTCCACTTGTCCCCGCGGAAGACGCCAGGGTGGTAGGAGCCCAGCAGGCCGGGGTTGCTGATGCTCACCTTCCGCAGCGCAGACAGCCACTGGTTCAGCTCGTTCACACACTGCAGGGGTGTAGGGGGACACCAGCATTCACCTCCTCCAGGAAGCCCGCCCTCCCTTCCTGGAGCTCCCCGGCACATGGCCTGATGAGCAGAGCGGCAGCTGGATGTCAGCCGCTGCCCCCCATGGCCGTGCCCTGAGCAGTGTACAACCTGCCAACTGTACAGAGTAGGCACCGTTTTACCCTGTGGCTCTGGACAGTCCCTCTCGGGGATAAGCCAAACCCCTCTGACTTCAGCCTTCCTTCTTGATCTCCGTGTGCTGCCCCTAGATGTTTTCCCCTTCACGATGCCCCTGCTCAGAGGCCACCTGCCAGAGGCCCTCCCACCCACACTTTAGAGAGTAGTAACCCCTACTGAATGCTACTCTGTCCCCTGCCTCTCCCCTTTAGTCTCCTCTGTGCCCTTCAAGGCGCTGCCACCATCTGACGTGAAATACTTAGCGGTCCATCCGCCTCCCTGGGAGACAGCCCCATGAGGGCAGGGCAGTTTCACCTGCTGCTGTACCCCAGCACCACAACCCGCGCCTGGAGCCTTGTGGACGCTCTGCAAATACTTCTCAGATGAATGGATGAGTTAATGCATAAAGAGACGAGACTTGGAGAGCATGCACCCAGAGTCACACGCCTGCACGAACGTGATGACTGCGTGTCGATCGCACCGCAAACACACAGGCACCAACAAAGATACTCACAAAACCAGTTTCTAACGAACATGCACAATGTGTGACGCTCCGACTGACGGGAACGTACACGTCCTATACCGGACCACGCAGACCTAGATGTGGGTGCTTAGGCCCAGGGAAAGCCACGGGCACGGGGCCCCAGGCCCCCCAGAGCCCACGACACACACACACACACACACACACACATACACACATCAGATCTCACACCTGCTGGGCCTGATAGAGCTGACACGGGGTAGTAGGCTCACTGGGGCCTCCTTCTAGCTGCGCCCCCCAGGCGGACATTCCCCCAGCAGCCCTCCCCAAGTGCGCACCACACGGCCCCCACCTTGCACTGCAGGTACACGGTCTGGGGCTTGCCCGCATCGTCCTCATAGATGACCTGCATGACATGCGAGCTGCCGAAGCTCTTCTCCTCCACCTTCTCCGCTGCCCGGATGTTGGCTAGCTTGATCAGGGCACTTTTCTGGAGTGGGCCGAGACAGGGAGACTCAGGGTCCAAGCCGGGGCCCCTCTATGTCCCAGTTCTGGGCCTTAGTCTCCCCTCCTACAGCCTGGGGAGTTAGCATCACGGACCCGGCTCTGTAAGTGACCCCAGTGACTCTGTGAGTGACCCCAGCCACACAGAGCACGGGTGCTTCCTAGCTGTTATAAACCCCTCGCATCCCCACTTGCCCACCTCCTTCCTCACCCACCTTAGAGCCGGGCGTCTTGGCGAAGCTGAGGGCCTCGGTGGTAAGGGAAAAGTGGAGTTTCTTGAAGGAGGACATGAGAGGGCCCTTGCCCTTGGTCCTGTGGATGAAGAGCGGCCCCTCCTTCACCGGCGGGGCCTGCAAACTCAGGGTCCGCTGCAGGTCCAGCTCTGCGGGGCCGGGAGGGGGATAAAATGTGAGCCCAGGGATGTAGTGGGAGGTGGGCAGAGACGCGAGGGGAGGGGCACAGGCAGCAGGTGGGCAAGGCCGTGCAAACGTGATGAAGAGGCTGTGGGTGCGACCAAAAAGCCACAGAGATAAGATAAGTGGGGGCCTGGGCCAGAGGACAGAGCAAACTGGACAGGGAGGCTGTGGGCGGGGCCATAGGAGGGGCCAGTGTGGGTGGGGCCCCGGGCACGGGGGCGGGGCAAACCGGGAGTGCTCACCCTCCTTCTCCTCGATGTCCACCAGTTTCGTGATGAAGTCCTTCAGCTGAGCTACGCCCTGGCGCACGGTGGGCTGCAGCGGCTCCATCCAAGCCTCCTTGGCTCTGGAAGCCGGCGTGTCCATGTTGCCCACGTTCTGGACCGCCTGCCCGGGACGGCAGCAAGGGCCAGGCCTGCTGGGTCAACACCCCCCCGCCCCCGCAACCTCCCCCACCCCGCCACCAAATCGGGTGCCACTCCCGTAGTAGAACCCGAGGCCGCAGCAGCACAAGCTCTGCTCAGGGGCTCGTTCCATCCCTACTGCGGCTCGGGGCTGAACCGACACGGGGTGTGAGGCCTTTCGGGACCGGACGGTTGAGGCTACTTGAGACCAACCCGCCGGCCTTCCTCGGCAAGTTTAAGAGAAGACTGCTCCCCTGGGTACGCCGGCCCCAGCCTGGTGGCAGGCAGCTAGGGGCCGCCTGGGAATAAGAGGCCGATCTGGGGGCTAAAGGGCCCGCGTTCACACACACAGGCTCCGGGGCCGAATCTCCTTCCCCGCAGGGACCCGCTTCCTTGTCCATGGGCTCGGGTGACCACGAGAAAGCTTTGTCCAGTGTCAAGTGTGGTGCCACGGGCGACCCTGGAGCCAGTCGGGGACACACTGCCGTGCGGGCGGAGCCCCGCGGGCACCCACCTTGGCCAGCAGCAGCAGGGTGCGGCTGGTGCGCGCGTCCGCGTGCCGCTCCCGCAGGTGGAAGAGCTTGGGCGCCATGATAGCGGGAGACAAGAAGCGCAGGCACAGGAAGCTGGTGACGGCGATGAACGGCACGTTCTGGGGGGCGCGGGAGAGCGGGGCTGGGCTGCCCGCGGGCCTTCGGTGCTGTCCCGGCCTCTGCCTGCCCCCCTGCCCCCGCCTGCGGTTCTAACCAACCCCGCAACACTGCTTCCTTCCCTCCGCCCGGCCCCACCGACAGGGGGCGCACCTCGTGCTGGGCGCCGGGGAAGCGCTCGCGCACGCGCCGGAAAAGCTGCCGGAAGGTGGCGCGGACCACAGCGGGGCAGGCGCGAACGGAGCGGCTGAGCGCGCTCAGCAGCGCCCCCAGGTGGCTGCGCAGCGTCTGCGCGCTCTGCTCTAGCACCTCGGCCTCGGTCTGTGGGCGGTGCAGCCCGGAGCACCTGAGTGGATCCCGCATAGAGGATGGAGGTCAGCACCCCTGCACGGGACTCTCGCGGGGTTCCCGGAGACAGGCGCAATAAGGCGTCAGCAGAGGCAGGGACAAAGGCAACGCACAGGTGGGCAGAGCGACGGAAAAGTAGACCCGGGCAGAGGAGCCAAAACATCCACTTGCAAAAAGGGCCTGGCACCGCCGCCCCCGCCCCAGGGATCACATCCGGCCTCACCCTACGTCCTTGACCTCCACTTTGCTGGGGTCCAGCTCCACGTACTTCTTCTCCTCAAACACCCTGTCGATGATGGGGCCCAGGACGCCATGCAGATACCGCATCCCCACCACCTGGGGGCCGTGGGGGGGGTGGCGTTGGTCCCGCCTCCTGCCTCCAGCTCCCGGGCCGTCTCCCTGCAGCTGGCCTCCCAGCCCCCCAAGCAGGAGTCTCTCCCCTACACCCAGGTCAGACTCTGAGGCCCTCTGCGTGGACAGGTGTGACCACCCCTCTCGGCCTCCTTAACTGTGGGGCCCCACCCTGGGATGAGCTGCCCCTACACAAACACCCCGGAAGTGGCTAGGCCTTACCAGAGAAGGCTCGGGGGAGCAGTCCCAAAGGGCCGCAGGAGCCCTTGGAGCAAGCACTCCGGTTCCCACCCGTGCCTGCACCCAACAGGCCCCCAGCCTTAACGCCCTGCCCCTCGTCCACGTCCTCTGGAACCACCTCCCCCCACGCCCCCTAGAGCTTAGGACACTCTCCACGGGCTGTCCGGGCTGTGGGCACGAGGACACCGCAGCTCCGGGCAGACCCAGCGCCGCTCACCCGGAAGCGCTCCTCCAGCAGGGAGAGCTCGCTGATGAGGTCCGTGATGGCATTGGTGAAGGCCTCCTGCGGGCTGTAGTCCGGGGTGGTCTGCACCCGGATGATGATCTTGTGCTCCAAGGGGTGGGGGACTTTGTAGCCAGCGAACAGCACCTGCGGGTCCTTCAGCAGCTGTCTGCGGGGGGATGTGACACGGGGCGCTGAGCCGAGCACCCCTGGGGATGACCAAGCTCTAACCAAGGCCTCTTCCCACTGGGTTGAGGCCTGGAAGCCAGTACAGCTGGGGGGGCTGACCCCAGCAGGTTCCCTGCTCTTGATCCCCGCCCCCCGCAAAAATCTACCAAGTGAAACATTCCAAAAAAGACAAAGACACACACACACACACACACCCCACCATCACCACCCCCCATGGGGACCACACACACACACACCCCCTCCAAGGACCCCAGCTGCTAAGCAGGATCTCCAGCAAACTCTTCCCTCAGGAAGCAGGGGACCCTGCGACTGCCTCAAGGAGCCTGCCCAGGACGAGCATCCGACAGCTATAAAGGCAACAGGGGGAGAAGGTTCGGGCCCTGAGCAGTTGGTGAATGGAAGTCCTCCGGGCAGCACAGGCTGGCAGCTGCCGCCCGCAGCCCTGGGGCCCTGTCTGCAAGGCTGTGCGGCCTGCGTGTGCGTCCGCGCGCCATGCCCTGGGCCCACGGGGTCCTCGACAGCAGCTCGGTCAGCGGTGCGCACCACGAGGGAGGGCCCTTGCATAGGTGGGGACACGGCTCCCAGAGCAGGGGATCAACAAAGCCCTAGAAGGGCCTGGGGGCACCACTGGCGTGGCAGAAGACCGCCAACTCCACCTCCTGGGCTCCCGCCCGGGACCCCACACGTGCACACCGCGGAAAGACCCGGCTTCACCCATGGTGCCTTCAGCAGAGAAACGACAAGACCTCAGACCAGAACAGTGACCACATCGCCAACCTCCTAGCTGCTCAGGACTACACTGGTGTAAACACGCACCCACCGGCCCACAACCGCTGTCCACCGGGGCACTGGCTAGCCGCAGAGCCTCTCCCACCTTCTCCCCTCCTAATAAGAGCCAATGTCTGGCACATCTGTCTGTGTGTACCAGCTGTCCCAGAGACCATCGTCCCGAAGAGGGGTGGGTGGCAGCACGCCCGACCGCCCCTCCCTGCTCTTCAGCACAGAAACACAAGCAGGCCACGTTTCTCTGGCTCGCCCCAGATAACTCAGACACACGGCAGTGTGATCGGATCGAGGTCAGCGTCATCTTGGAGAGAATGAACTGGAATGCGGGAACTGCCAAAGCAATCCCCCAGACCTTCCTGCAGCTCAGAGACTGCGGGAAATCTTCCCGAATGTGTGCTTTGCCTCAAAGACCCCCAATAAACGCTTTCCAAGAGCCTTTGACGTGGAACTTACGATTTAATGATGTTTCCTAGCGTGTGGTCTTCTTTATTGATGGTGAACAAACAGGCATTGGGTACCTTGGTGTCCTTGTTAATGGTAATCCTGGGAAGAGGACGAAGCAACAGGTGAGGACACAATCTCTTCAGCCATAAAGACCTCTCGGATTCAGAGCAGCAGAGGGGCTACACCCTGATTCTGCAAGACCCTCACCTGCTCTGGACTGCTCCTTGGCACCAGTGACATTTTAGGGTGGATAATTCTACTCCGTAGGGCGCTGTCTTGTACACCGTAGGATATGAGCACCATTTCCCGGTCTGTACTCACGAGCAGCACCCCCTTTGTGACCATCAGAACTGTTGGCAGACGTTGAAAAAGTCCCCTGGGGAGCAAAATGGCCCCAGATGCCAACCACTGTTCTCAAGGACGACGAAGAGGCTGGCAAGGGCTAGACCGCAGAGCCCTGCATACCAGGCTGTTAAGAAAAAGCCAGCGTTGGGGCGTCTGGGTGGCTCAGTGGGTTAAGCCTCTGCCTTCCACTCGGGTCATGATCTCAGGGTCCTGGGATCGAGCCCCGCATCGGGCTCTCTGCTCAGTTGGGGAGCCTGCTCCCCCCCCTCTCTCTGCCTGCCTCTCTGCCTACTTGTGATCTCTCTGTCAAGTAAATAAAATCTTAAAAAAGAAAAAGCCAGTGTTTCAGAGGGTCTTCTGCGTGCTGAGCCCTGGCCTAAGCACTTTCAGTAAATTACCTCGTTAAGCTCCCCTCGGAGAACATCCTGTGATTGAATGCAGCAGGAAGCCTGTTTACCAGAGAAGGAAAACACGCCTCGGGCAGCTTAAGTCATTTGCCCAAAGACATGAAGACGTTAAGTGAGGGAGCCAGGCGGAGAGACCAGGGGACCACATTCCCTTGCTCGCTGCAGGCAAGGAGCCCCTGTAAGCTCCTCACAGGCCACTGAGGATCGGTCGTGAGCCGGAGAGCCAGCCCTTGGCTTGCAAAGGCGGCGGCCAGGAGGCTGCCGGATCCCACAGGGAAAGCACTGTGGCGCCGGGCACCCTGGTTCCCATACACACCGCCCCTTCCCGTGGGCCCAGGCAGGTCCCTAGCCTCTCCGCGCCTCGGGTTCCTCCTCTGCAGCACGGGGCCACTGACAACCGCCCCGCAGGGCTGGCTCAAGTCCGCAGACACAGTAAAAGCTGCTTCCGTCTCCCCGCTGTGGACGAGCCCGAGAAGCCCCAGAGTCCGCCTGCGACCCCGGCCCACCCCTCGCCGGCTCCACTTACTTTTTCTCGCCCTCGAAGAGCAAGAACGACTCGAAGGCGGGAGGCGCGTTCATCCTAGCGCCGCACCAACGTCCAAAGTCGCAACAGCCGCCACCACCGCCAGCAAAGCCCTATAACACCACCTCTTCCGGGTTAGCGACTGCTTCCGGGTTGCGGCTCCGCACGCCCCCAACGCCCTCCCCACCCGCGAAGTCCGGCTGCTTGCCCCCTAGCGGCCCGGGGGATGTAGTGCAGGCGCGAGAAAAGCCCGGGGACAGAGAGGGGCCGGTGGTTCTGCGCATGGGTGAACCGGGTTGCATCCACGCGTTCGCCGCCCGGTAGCTGTGCTTGGGGCCCCGCTGGCAGCGCCCGGGACTGCTCTGTGCGCGGTGCAACGGCCTCTCTCCGCTCCCCGTGATCCTTCTTTGGAAATGTGCCTTTGGAACACCCAGCGCGGGGCCCTCAAGTGGAGAATGGAGCCGCGGCGCAGGGGGACCGGCGCGGGGGGGGCGGGGAAGCCTCGTGGGCGTCCGGGCCCCGATCGGGGCGGGTGCTGTTAAACCCTCTGCCGAGGCTACCTGCCACCAGAGGCCCCCTCCTCCCCGACCGTGTTGTCGCCGGCTTGCCCAGTGGGCATGTGGCCTGAGCCGCTGGTCGCCTGTCGGGCAGACAGCGGGTGAGGGCGGGGGTCAGGCAGGTGTACCCAGCGGGGAGAGAGGGGCTTGGAGGGCCCAGTGTTGGAGCCCGCTGGGAACGGCGGGTAGTTTGCAGACTGCAGCTTGTCATCAAGGCCCCACCGCGCTGTCTGAAGGAAGGGGCTGGGTCTCCCATTAGCTGCTGGAGCCACAGCAGCTGAGGACCCGTGAAGGAAACCAGAAGCTTCCACACCACTTTCTGAGAAGAGCCATCTCCTACTTGAGCCTTGGGCCCTGGGCCGAGGAAGTGTCATTCCCCCTGAGACCCACACCAGCCTTGACTCTCCAGGCCAAGTGGTGGGAGAGGGGGGCTCTTTAACTGGGAAGGGACAGAAGGCACTGAGGGGATGGTGCCCTAGGGCTGGAACCTCCACCCTCCGGGCCATCCTGGCCAAGTCTGGGCCAAGGATGCTATTAACTGGGCTGGCTGGGGGGAGGGGGCCTCCCTCTCTGCCTGGTAGAACCCAGGGGGCAGGGGGTACATGGGCAGCAGGGCCAGGGCCAGGCACTTACTATAACCCCTCTTCAGGCTGCAGCGGCCACCCCACGCCTGGACCGTTCTGGAGGAGAGGGTGGAAGGTGTCGCTGCTGGGCGGCTGTGTGTGCGTCCCCACTCCGGCCCCAGTGGCAGCCCCATAAAGGCACGCCTCTCTTGTCCCTTCATGTTCTGTATTAGGGTGCAGTAGACCCTGGGGTCTGTACTTCCTGACCACAAGGTCCTGGAAACCCAAGGAGGCTGAACAGACATGAGGGCTTGTGTGAGGCCCTGAAGAAGGAGCCAGAGAACAGGGTGTTGTTGGCGATGGGGGAGGGGCGGTGCAGACTCAGCCGCCCCAGGGCCAGGAAGGGAAGGTGAGGCACATTCAGGCTCTACCCTGTGAGGGATGGAGCAGTGGGACCCAGGGATATGGTGGGGACAGCAGTTTGGGGGAGAAATGAGTCCCCCTGCGATGTGGGGGGGTGGGCAGATGGGTTACACAAAGGCTAAGGATGCGGTGCCGGTCATTGGCCAACCCCAAGGAGCCACGGGAGTCCCCAGGCCCAGGCCCTCCACCGACCCCCGTCACAAGACCCCAGAGCCCAGCAGTCACAGCAGGTTTATTGTCAGCAACAGAGCACCGGCGAAGCTCTCCCAGGGCGCCCAGCCTGTGGCTGGAGGGGAGAGGGGGCGTGGCGGCCAGGAGCTAGGGGATGCTGAGGTCAAGGCCTGGGCGCCTGCGCTCCGTGTTCCCTTCCACCTCTCTGGGTCCAAGGAGCATCAGTTCCCCTGGGTTCGGGCCATCCTAGGGGTGGTTTCTGGCCAGGTCTGCCCTGGGCAGGAGGGAGGGTCCCTGGAGAGTCTGGGCGAGCGCCAGCGATGCCCACAAGAGCCGTGGGGAGCAGCCAGGCTTCACAGAAGAGCAAGAGCACGCCAAGTCCCCTAGAGACTTCGGGCAGCCAATGACGGGCCTTCTGGACCCCCTGGACCTCCAACTCACCCAGCCCATGACAGCCCTAAGCCCTGCTCCCCCAGGAGTGGGAGTGAAGAGCCAAAAGCGCACCGGGGGTCTCCAAGCACCCGGCAGGGGGCTCGGCGAGGGCACTGGGCGGGGGGCAGGCCTCACGTCTGCAGTGGCCCGGGGTGGCGGGGCTCCGAAGGCGGCGGACTGGCCAGGCCGGAGCGGTGGGCCTCCTGGAGGTCCCGCAGCACCTGCAGAAGCTGGGCCAGCGCGTCCTCGGGGGCTGGAGGCAGAGGCACGATGAGGGCAGAGCAGCCAGGGCCAGAGGCTCCCGGGGGATGCGGCCCCGCCCACAGCACCCCAAAACGGAGCTCAGGCCACTGTGGGAGTCCAGCTGGGAGCAACCTACCTTCCCCCGGGCCAGTGTGCACAGAGCCTGCCTCTGTGCCCGCACTCAGCTCCCGGTGCTTCTCTCTGCAGGGGAGGACAGAGGGACAGCTCGTGGAGCCCTTGCCAAGAAGGCCAGGGAACCCCATGTGGGCCTCCTGAGTGGGAGGGGATTCTGGGAGGGAGGGGCTGACCCCTTCAATCTGGGGGGAAGTAACAGAGGCCCAGGTCGTGGTCCCCCGGCCACCTGCCACCTTCCCTCTTCCAGCCTCCTCGGGTCCTCCCCACCTCCGCAATAGTAGGACGGCGGAAGGTGCTGTGGAAACCAAGTTCGAACCACAGAGGACCCTGGGGGAAGGGGCCAACTGGGGCCCGAAAGTCCCCAGTATTAACTGGCCGTGAAACGACTTTCCTTCTTAGGGGAGTAGGAGACAATGACAATTTAAGCACGATTCCTAACCAGGGTTCACCGGAGATCCCCGAGCCCTCTGAGGTGCGATCCTGGGAGCTTCCATGAAGGGAGAACCAGCAGCCACGGGGACCCCAGGCTTGAAGCTCCTTACTTAGGAATTCCACTGGCTTGGTCCTTTGGACGGTCTCCCTGACCCATTTGGGAAGAGCTGTGTCCCTCTGCTAAGATCTAACACGCTCCTCCTCCCTCAGATGCCTTCTAGGCTGTGGGGTCGGTCCCTGACCCGCTCCGCTCATTTGTTAACTCAACCCTGACTGCAAGAGAAGACATTTGGGTCATTCCCAGCCAAGCGTCCAGTGATCAGTTACAGCAGCCCCAGGCCACTGCGTCAGGGGACCAGATGAGCCGGTGGGGCAGAAGGGCCAGGGCAGACGCTGCAGGATGGCAAGGAGGCGAGGCCGAACGAGAGAAGGGGGGCCAAGCGATTCCATAAATGCGGAGGCTCTCAAGGCACGGGGCTGTGGTCAGGCCCATGGCACTGGTCCCATGGCGGGAACCACCTGAACCCAAGGTAGCCTGGGATCGAGTCTTTGCTCCGCCGCTTCCTGGCTTAAATGGGGGACACAACTGTGGGTCCCCAGAAAAGAGCAGACAGGGTGGTGCCTGTATCTGGTAGGTGGAGGACGATGTCCCCGAGCCAGGGGGCCAGACGAGGGGTGGAGAGGGGGCCGGTGACAGGAGTGACCTGGAAGCTACTGGACACTGCAGCTCCCAGGGGAGTGCGCGGTTCTCGTCCGACCCCATGAGCCCCAGAAGGGTTTCTGAGGACGAAATAACGCCCTGGAAAAGTGGATGAGGAACAAGGACAACAGCCACCACCCCTCCAGGACGCAGGCATGGGGGTGTGCGACAGAAAACCGCCCCGAGGGCACCTGGGTGGCTCAGTGGGTTAAGCCTCTGCCTTCAGCTCGGGTCATGTTCTCAGAGTCCTGGGATCGAGTCCCACATCGGGCTCTCTGCTCAGCAGGGAGCCTGCTTCCCCCTCTCTCTCTGCCTGCCTCTGCCTACTTGTGATCTCTACCGAATAAATAAATAAAATCCTTAAAAAAAAAAAAAAAAAAGAAAAAGAAAAGAAAACTGCCCCGATCCCAGCACACTTAGGGAAACAGGGGCTACTCGGAGGTAAGCCCACACAGCACTGCGCCTCCAGAAATTCTGAGTCTGTGGGGGCGGCCACAGGCATTCTGGTTGTTTCTGTGCGGGAGCCAGGGCCGGGACCAGGCATTAGCAGCTGCCTGGGGACAATCCCTGTGCTCAGGGCACAACGGGAAGGCCGGACAGGCTGGGAGGCTGGGTCAGCCCGAGGCCAGACATAGCCGTGGCAGTGACCCGGGGCCTCTGTATCCTTGGGCCTTCATCCTTGGGTGAGCCCGCCTCCTGCCGTGGAGACCCACGTGCCCCTCCCCCGGTGCGGGGCCACAGGCAGGAAGGGGCCAGACCTGATGTACAGCAGGAGACCAGCCTCTGGGCCCCAGCTCCTGCCCTCTCCCACCACACTCCGCGGGCCACACAGGCCTCCTCACCGCAGTGCGGCCTCCACGCCCAGCAGGTGCCGGCAGATAAGCTGGGCCTCCAGGTCATGGTCCAGAGGGTCATTCCACTCCTGGAGGGTCACCCGCGACCGGGTCTTGTCGCAGCCCAGATCTGGGGACACAAAGAGGGCAGGGTTGCAGATAGGCTCCGTGAGAGCTTATGTCCAACTTCGTGGCAGTACAGGTGGGGACACCGAGGCCTGCAGAGGGACAGGAACGGGCGCAGGGGCCCCAGGAGGGGCAGCAGCTCATCTCTGTTGGGGGCAGCCTCCGAGCCCAGAGATGCACAACGGCCGAGCACGGGAGCCACACAGGAGACAGCTCAGGGGGCTGGACAGCTTTCCCGGTGGCTGCCGGCCTGGAAGGAAGAAGGGAGTGGCCTGGGACCATAAGACCATGGGGACGGAAGCTGGAATGAGCTGGTCTTACGACCTTGGCAGAGGCACTGGCCCCTCCATGAAGCCTCCGTTTTCTCCTCCATAGAATGGGTTACCAGACCCTGCCTCCTAGAGCCCTAGGGAGCCCCCCCCCCTTACCAATAACAAAGGCCATCGCCACAAAGGTCAAAGCCAGCGGCCAACCAACCAGTGACACTGTTGTATAGAGCAGCTGCTGTCCCCTCCCAGACCCGGGCCGGGCTGCAGCAGGTGCGGCGGCCTCCCAGGGACTCCCCGTGTAGCCGGCTCCGAGGGCCGGGTCTCTTCTGAGACCAGGGAGCAAGAGTTTTGCAAAGCAGATGAAGGTAAGAGAAGGAAGGTCTTAACTGAGGTGCCCCACGGGGAAGCCAGCTGGCCGCATAATGCCACTTAAATGCAAAATCGTTAAAATTGCATAAATTAAAACGAACTTAAGTCTCAGCTCCTGGGCCACACTGGGCACACTTTAAGTCTGGTCACACGTGTTCGTGACAAGCACACACACAGTCCTGGGCACCGCTGCCACCATCACGGAAAGTTCTAGCAGCAGCTTGTCTCTGCCGTCCCTCTGGTGCCCGGGGACCGCCCCCACCCCCGCAGCTCCAGCATCAGGCCGCCAGGTGGGAAAGTGAAGCTCAGGGGCCCTCCTGTGCCCAAGGCAGCAAGGAGTCCCTACGGTGTGTCCCTAGAAGCCCTGGTTCACAGACCCCTCCCTCCCCGGGCAAGAGAGGGTCCCTGTCATGTGGGCGAGGGAGTGCTGCGTTACACAGCGTGATGGATGGCACTCCAGCTCGTTTCCAGGCCTCCTCAGAGCCTTCGATGAACACACGCACGGCACCCACACCACACAGCATTTCCCAAACTCCTGTCCCGGAACCCTTCCCGCCTGGAATCCCTGCAGGGACCAACCTGCCACCATTGACTTCCCCGACTTCCCCCAGGTGCACAGGTGGCCCCCCAGCCAGGCCAGCCAGCCACGGCTTGGAAGCCCCGTGCCCCGGCCAGGGAGCCCAGGTGCCGTGTAGGGGGGCCCAGGCCTCCGCTCCCACCTGATTTATCCTTCTGGTGGCAACAGCTCCACTTGTCCCCGCGGAAGACGCCAGGGTGGTAGGAGCCCAGCAGGCCGGGGTTGCTGATGCTCACCTTCCGCAGCGCAGACAGCCACTGGTTCAGCTCGTTCACACACTGCAGGGGTGTAGGGGGACACCAGCATTCACCTCCTCCAGGAAGCCCGCCCTCCCTTCCTGGAGCTCCCCGGCACATGGCCTGATGAGCAGAGCGGCAGCTGGATGTCAGCCGCTGCCCCCCATGGCCGTGCCCTGAGCAGTGTACAACCTGCCAACTGTACAGAGTAGGCACCGTTTTACCCTGTGGCTCTGGACAGTCCCTCTCGGGGATAAGCCAAACCCCTCTGACTTCAGCCTTCCTTCTTGATCTCCGTGTGCTGCCCCTAGATGTTTTCCCCTTCACGATGCCCCTGCTCAGAGGCCACCTGCCAGAGGCCCTCCCACCCACACTTTAGAGAGTAGTAACCCCTACTGAATGCTACTCTGTCCCCTGCCTCTCCCCTTTAGTCTCCTCTGTGCCCTTCAAGGCGCTGCCACCATCTGACGTGAAATACTTAGCGGTCCATCCGCCTCCCTGGGAGACAGCCCCATGAGGGCAGGGCAGTTTCACCTGCTGCTGTACCCCAGCACCACAACCCGCGCCTGGAGCCTTGTGGACGCTCTGCAAATACTTCTCAGATGAATGGATGAGTTAATGCATAAAGAGACGAGACTTGGAGAGCATGCACCCAGAGTCACACGCCTGCACGAACGTGATGACTGCGTGTCGATCGCACCGCAAACACACAGGCACCAACAAAGATACTCACAAAACCAGTTTCTAACGAACATGCACAATGTGTGACGCTCCGACTGACGGGAACGTACACGTCCTATACCGGACCACGCAGACCTAGATGTGGGTGCTTAGGCCCAGGGAAAGCCACGGGCACGGGGCCCCAGGCCCCCCAGAGCCCACGACACACACACACACACACACACACACATACACACATCAGATCTCACACCTGCTGGGCCTGATAGAGCTGACACGGGGTAGTAGGCTCACTGGGGCCTCCTTCTAGCTGCGCCCCCCAGGCGGACATTCCCCCAGCAGCCCTCCCCAAGTGCGCACCACACGGCCCCCACCTTGCACTGCAGGTACACGGTCTGGGGCTTGCCCGCATCGTCCTCATAGATGACCTGCATGACATGCGAGCTGCCGAAGCTCTTCTCCTCCACCTTCTCCGCTGCCCGGATGTTGGCTAGCTTGATCAGGGCACTTTTCTGGAGTGGGCCGAGACAGGGAGACTCAGGGTCCAAGCCGGGGCCCCTCTATGTCCCAGTTCTGGGCCTTAGTCTCCCCTCCTACAGCCTGGGGAGTTAGCATCACGGACCCGGCTCTGTAAGTGACCCCAGTGACTCTGTGAGTGACCCCAGCCACACAGAGCACGGGTGCTTCCTAGCTGTTATAAACCCCTCGCATCCCCACTTGCCCACCTCCTTCCTCACCCACCTTAGAGCCGGGCGTCTTGGCGAAGCTGAGGGCCTCGGTGGTAAGGGAAAAGTGGAGTTTCTTGAAGGAGGACATGAGAGGGCCCTTGCCCTTGGTCCTGTGGATGAAGAGCGGCCCCTCCTTCACCGGCGGGGCCTGCAAACTCAGGGTCCGCTGCAGGTCCAGCTCTGCGGGGCCGGGAGGGGGATAAAATGTGAGCCCAGGGATGTAGTGGGAGGTGGGCAGAGACGCGAGGGGAGGGGCACAGGCAGCAGGTGGGCAAGGCCGTGCAAACGTGATGAAGAGGCTGTGGGTGCGACCAAAAAGCCACAGAGATAAGATAAGTGGGGGCCTGGGCCAGAGGACAGAGCAAACTGGACAGGGAGGCTGTGGGCGGGGCCATAGGAGGGGCCAGTGTGGGTGGGGCCCCGGGCACGGGGGCGGGGCAAACCGGGAGTGCTCACCCTCCTTCTCCTCGATGTCCACCAGTTTCGTGATGAAGTCCTTCAGCTGAGCTACGCCCTGGCGCACGGTGGGCTGCAGCGGCTCCATCCAAGCCTCCTTGGCTCTGGAAGCCGGCGTGTCCATGTTGCCCACGTTCTGGACCGCCTGCCCGGGACGGCAGCAAGGGCCAGGCCTGCTGGGTCAACACCCCCCCGCCCCCGCAACCTCCCCCACCCCGCCACCAAATCGGGTGCCACTCCCGTAGTAGAACCCGAGGCCGCAGCAGCACAAGCTCTGCTCAGGGGCTCGTTCCATCCCTACTGCGGCTCGGGGCTGAACCGACACGGGGTGTGAGGCCTTTCGGGACCGGACGGTTGAGGCTACTTGAGACCAACCCGCCGGCCTTCCTCGGCAAGTTTAAGAGAAGACTGCTCCCCTGGGTACGCCGGCCCCAGCCTGGTGGCAGGCAGCTAGGGGCCGCCTGGGAATAAGAGGCCGATCTGGGGGCTAAAGGGCCCGCGTTCACACACACAGGCTCCGGGGCCGAATCTCCTTCCCCGCAGGGACCCGCTTCCTTGTCCATGGGCTCGGGTGACCACGAGAAAGCTTTGTCCAGTGTCAAGTGTGGTGCCACGGGCGACCCTGGAGCCAGTCGGGGACACACTGCCGTGCGGGCGGAGCCCCGCGGGCACCCACCTTGGCCAGCAGCAGCAGGGTGCGGCTGGTGCGCGCGTCCGCGTGCCGCTCCCGCAGGTGGAAGAGCTTGGGCGCCATGATAGCGGGAGACAAGAAGCGCAGGCACAGGAAGCTGGTGACGGCGATGAACGGCACGTTCTGGGGGGCGCGGGAGAGCGGGGCTGGGCTGCCCGCGGGCCTTCGGTGCTGTCCCGGCCTCTGCCTGCCCCCCTGCCCCCGCCTGCGGTTCTAACCAACCCCGCAACACTGCTTCCTTCCCTCCGCCCGGCCCCACCGACAGGGGGCGCACCTCGTGCTGGGCGCCGGGGAAGCGCTCGCGCACGCGCCGGAAAAGCTGCCGGAAGGTGGCGCGGACCACAGCGGGGCAGGCGCGAACGGAGCGGCTGAGCGCGCTCAGCAGCGCCCCCAGGTGGCTGCGCAGCGTCTGCGCGCTCTGCTCTAGCACCTCGGCCTCGGTCTGTGGGCGGTGCAGCCCGGAGCACCTGAGTGGATCCCGCATAGAGGATGGAGGTCAGCACCCCTGCACGGGACTCTCGCGGGGTTCCCGGAGACAGGCGCAATAAGGCGTCAGCAGAGGCAGGGACAAAGGCAACGCACAGGTGGGCAGAGCGACGGAAAAGTAGACCCGGGCAGAGGAGCCAAAACATCCACTTGCAAAAAGGGCCTGGCACCGCCGCCCCCGCCCCAGGGATCACATCCGGCCTCACCCTACGTCCTTGACCTCCACTTTGCTGGGGTCCAGCTCCACGTACTTCTTCTCCTCAAACACCCTGTCGATGATGGGGCCCAGGACGCCATGCAGATACCGCATCCCCACCACCTGGGGGCCGTGGGGGGGGTGGCGTTGGTCCCGCCTCCTGCCTCCAGCTCCCGGGCCGTCTCCCTGCAGCTGGCCTCCCAGCCCCCCCCCCCCCCCCGGGGGCCATCTGCCTGCTGTGTCCGCTCGGGGTAGAGCCAGGCCCACAAAGGGGACAGCGAGACCAAGTGCTGCTGCGCGAATGAACACGCGAGTAGATGCATGAACTTCTTTATCTCTTGTCCCTTCTGAACCTCGGTCTCCTCATCTAGGCAACAAAGACATATACCACTCAACCTCACCTTCAGAAAAGACTCCATGGACTTTGAGGCAAGAGAGTTGCTCCGGAACAGGGTGTTAGCCTCACCTGCAAGCAGAGGTTCTGGTGGGTACGGGGTTGGGGAAGGGAGGACCACGGGGCTGGGGGCCCTAAGCTGGCCCCTCTGTAAGGACCTTCCTTGCCCCTTCCCAGCACACTGCCCCACCTATGCCTTTTGCTCCTTCCTTTGCCTCCTAATCGGACCCAGCAGCTTCCTACAGGAAGCCTTCCCAGATTTCTCCGCTCTCAGCATCTCTGCAGTCCTTGGCTCCTGGCCCCCTCTCCACCACACCCTCAGACAGGCCACCCCCTCCCAGGCCTCACTGGTGCGACCCAGCTCCAGCTGGAAGAGCAGGTCCAGGAAGTCTTTGGCCAGTCCCTGCCCCAGGAAGAGCTTGAGCAGGTTGGTGGCCACCCCCTGGCGGCACTCTGTGCTCGTTGTCTCCTCTATAAGAGGTATCAGCTGCCCTGGGCCCTGCAGGAAGCGGCAAGGAGAGACAGGGTTAGAGGACCCACAGGGGAACCCAAACCCTTCACTCTGAGGACCTCAGAGGACCGCGGGGAAGGGGGGTGCTTTCCCAAGGGATGGCAAGGGGCCCTGGGTACTGGCTAGTTCTTACCGTCCTGAGAACTGAGGGCTTTGCTCTTCAGAGCGGGTGTAGGACAGGGAGGACTGGCCTACTGGCCCCGGACCCTCCCACCTTCCCCCGGGGCCCCCTCACCTGGGTGCCCAGCTTCACCTCACGGCACAGCAGCTGCACCAGGGGCTGGTAGCAGCCGGAGGGCAGTACCGTCTCGTCCCGCAGCCGCACCTCCAGCTGCAAGGAGCCCAGGCTGCCCCTGGAACGGGCAGCCTGTGACCTCTCCACCAGGGACCCAGGCCGCCTGCGCTGGGCCCCTCCCCGCTGGCTCCATATTCCCTACTCAGCGCCAGCCTGTCTCTCGGCTTGTACCCTCCACCTGCCCACCCCCTGCACGGCCCAGCTCCTGTTCTTTCCCCTCAAGCTGCTTTCCTTCCCTGCTGGGCAAGCCCTTCCCGCCTCCAGCCATCTCCACCGCCTGGCTCCCTGCTCCCTCTAGACCCCTTGGACTCTGAGCTTGACCCATGCGAACATGCTGGGCTGCCCAGCCTCAGATCTGTAAACTCTCAGAGAACAGCTCCTTCGTGTACACGCTTTAAGCTGGAAGCAAGTCCCCAACGGTTTTAACAACCTGCCGGGGCAACTGAGGCTCGAGCAGGCTGGAGAACTTGCCACAACAGATCTAACTGCCAAGCTCTCCTGCTCGGATCCCTCCTGGCGGATCCCTCCTGTCGGGGTTGCTGACCAAGCCTCAGCAGTCTCTCAGCCACACACCCCTTCCAGAAGCACAGTGCAGTTCACTAAGTTTGCTGCTCAGCACGGCCTCATCCCCAGAAGCCCTCCAAACGGTGCCGGCTGGTTCTCTGGATATGCCTTGCGGCTGGACACAGCCGTCTGCCCCCGCCCCCGCCCTGTCCATGGTAGGGATGGGGGGTCTGGGACTTTCTGCAGAGAGACGGAGCTGAACCATCCACAGTGGGGGACACTGCTGACCCTCCACTTCCGGGTTGAGTGGTGGGCAAGGAGGCCAGAGGGCTTCCTTGATAGGGTTGCCAAATTTAACCAAAATAAAACTACAAGACGCCCAGTAAGTTTGAGTATCTTTAGCCTAAGTCTGTCTCCGACGCTGCACGGAAGTACCACATGGAAAAATGATTCACTGTTTGCCTGAAATTCAGCTTTACGTGGACATCCTATATTTTATCTGGCAACCTCATTCCTGGAAAATCTGGGGGAGAGTCAGACCTCTGGGGACTTGAACCCTGGTATGAGGTCTGCTGGGAAAGCCTTAAAGGGAAAAAGTCTGATGGCCTATTCCAGAATCTGCTAGAAGGTAGAAAGCAGGAGACCTGTACTGCCTTGGAGCTTAGAGGACAGGGCCAAGTCCACGGCTGCGAGAAGGGCCAGGCCGCAGGACCCGTCAGGATAAGAGTCTGGCCCGGAGGGAAAGGGTCTGCCCCCCACTGTGCAGCCTGCCTGCTGGAGCCAATGGTCAGGAATCCCCGCCCACCCCCAACCCCCTGGGGCCCGGAGCCCACCAGCCCCACTGCCAAGCCCAGGCACTCACTCTCCCCGCCGACTCTTGGATTGGTCGGGTTGCAGCCGGAACCAGCCCTCCTCCTGCTGGGCCGCCCACAGTCTCTGGACATTGAACACCACCTGGGGCGTAAGGCAGAGTCAACTACTGTTCCTTTTGGGGGAGTCCCTCCTCGGGGTCCCTGAGCACCAGTGGCTGGTTCTGGGGAGTGCCCCTCTGGGGCAGTGGGGGGCAGGGGGAGACTGGGGGCGGTGCCGGAATGGAGGCAGGTGCAGCCCGAAGGAGTGGGGCACTCACTTTGCCCAAGAAGTCATTCCGGCTGACAAGGTCCCAGTCCCAGGCTTCCACACACAACGCCTCCGCAGCCCCCTCTTCCAGATCAAACTCAAATGTCTCATTCCAGCGTGGGTAGCATGATTTCTTCACAATCTGTCCAGAACGGGGCGAGTAGAGGTGGGCTGACCCCAAGGGGGCCTCCAAGCAAGGCCCAGCCAAGGGCACAGCCACTCCAAACACCCCACTTGGGATCCCTGCAGGGGCCTTGCAACAGCAGAGGTATAACCTTCCTGTCCAAACTCCTGCTCATTTCTCAAGGGGGGAATGGAGGCCCAGAGTGGGCAAGGTACTTGTCCAAGGCCACACAGCACAAAGGTAGCAGCAAACTGCACTGAGAAACCAGGCCTCCACCCCTGGCCCACCCCAGGGCTACACCCACCACCCTGGCTGTTTCCTGGGGGAGAACAATGCGGGGGTAGCTATCGGACTGTGCAGCTGAACCCCACACCAGCTGTCTTGGGCCAGGAGGCCGGGAGTGAAAGGCAGCTGGGGCTGTAGGGGTTGGTGACAGAAGAGCCGGGACCTGCTATGCCCCAGGGTCACCCAGCCTTTCTTAAATCTCTTCTGTGAGACCACAGTCCCAGCCTGACCGCCCAGCTGATGAGGGCTCCCCGCCCCCCTCAGCCCCCTCACCGAGGTCTCCTGTGTCCGGCCGTTGTAGCGCACTCGGACGAAGGGGTCAGATGCACCGTTCCGGTCCTTGGGGGCCAGGTCCCTGGGAGGGAAGCAGGGCATCCACTTCTCACACTCCCTCCCCAGACTGTCATCTGACCGCTGTGGGGTCACCCCACCGCGCTGGGCTCATCTGTGCCCAGCGCCTCTCCCCGGGATGCTGATTCCCTCAGTGTTCCCCCCACAGGCCTCTACGGGGCACCCACACCAGACCAGGCCCCTGCCATGGCTCCTCTGGGTTGACAGCCGCAGGTGGGCTGTGAACTTATCGTCTGCTCTGGGGAGTCAGGGAGGCAAGTACATCGTGGAACAGCCTGGGCTGTGTCCCCCACCCACCCCCCCCGACTGCCAGAGCAGCCCTGAGCTGGGGCCATCTCTCCAAGCCTCGGTTTCCCCTTTGCAGAGTATAGAAGATAACCCCCACAACTGAGATCACGGGCTTCTAGAAGGCCTGCCCCACAGTGGGGGAGGTGGGTCTTGGGGAGCAGTCCTGCTGGGCCATCCTGCCAATGCTCTGCAAAGCCCAAATCCGCTCACAGCACCCCAGCACCCCAGCTCAGAGCCCTTCGTGGGGCAACAGCAAAGCCCAAACCTCTTCTTTTTACTGTAAGTACTATTTTCTGCTCTTCTCCATATTTTTAGTTTAAAGCCTCTTGTGCCGGCTTTTCTTGCCTCCTCAGAGCCAAGAGAATTCCAGAACATGAACTTGAGAATCTGCCCAGAAAGATGAGAAGAAACGTTCTTTCTGCACAGACAGCTTCTCGGGCCTCCTGGAATGCCAGTGTGGTCTGAGCGGGGGGCGGTGGGGGCCGAGACCCCCCCACGCTCCACACAGAGGTCTGGACAGACGGCTCCTCCCGCCCAGGCACCTGCTGAGTGGAGGCCAGGCTGGGCCAGCCCCCGCGTCCCCAGGAGTGTCAGCAGCACGTGCGTGTGAGCCAGAGGGCGGGAAGGGCCGAGTGTGAGGGTGTGAGCGGCCCCTGCCCAAGTCTGCACATTCTCCCGCTGCCTCCTCATCCACACTCCAGCCCCAGGACAGGGAATCCAGCTGGGGAGCCACCGTCCCCACCTGCTGGAGAGAGATCTCCCCCCCCCGCTCCCCCCGCAAGCTGACAGCCCTCACCCCCTCACCCCTGTGGGGACCGGCTCCCCCACGGGCACTGGCCTGGCTCTGCCCTCCTGCCCCAGAGGCAGCCAAGGGACCCTGTGGAGGCGGCCTGGAGCCACAAGGGAAGGAGCTCCTCAGGGAGCGTGTGTGACTCACACTCAGGCCCCGACGGGAGGGGAGCCCACAGCTAAAAATACCGGGGATGGGGAGGGGAGGGAGGCCTGTCGTAGGTGACTCAGGCCCACCTTTCTGCCCAAGTCACTGTTCCTCCTGGAGAGAACCGCACCCCACCCCCCGCAACACACACACACACACACACACACACACACACACACACACACCAGGCCAAGTTCATACTGTAGTTAAACCCCCAGGGGAAGCCCAGGCTTGGCACGGGGGCTGCATGTGCAGAGCTTGGGATCTCCTCTCACCTGCTATGCCTCCTGCTTTACGATGCCCGAAGTCCCACCATTAGAACATCACCCTGTCCCTTAAGAGACATGGCGTCCTCGGCCGGGTCACCCAGGAAACACCTTGAGGTCAGGCAACTTCCCCAGCCCGCCCGCCCGCAGGGGCCCCTCCCGTCTCACCTGGCCTCCAGCACAGAGCAGCGCAGCCGGCCCGCCGGCGTCCCCGGGACCACCTCAAGGCGCAAGTGGATCTCGCCTTGCACCTCCTCGTCAGGGTCGACCTCCGTCAGGTGGGCCCAGCCACTGAAACCTGTGGGACTAGCGGCTCAGCCCCGCCGGGCACCACAGCGCCCCTGCACCGGCCGCTCGGGGTCGTCTCCAACTCCGGGGGGGCAGGGGCCATCGTCCCCAGGGACAGATGGGGACACGGGACAGAAGCTGAGCAGCGGCTCTTGGAAGAAGCTTGATGCGAACCCAAGTCCAGCGACCCCTGTGTCCTTCCTCTCGTGCCCCCCCGCCCCCGAACCTAACTTGTGATAGAACCTCTTTCTCTGGCCTCAGTTTCTCCATCATAAAACAGCGGCTCTTGTCTGGGGCTGCCAGAGGAGGGGCCGAGCCCAGGGGGGGAAGCATTAAGGGCCCAGCATCCCCTGGGCCACTGGACCCCGAGGGGCTTGCGGGGGCCTCGGGCAGGAGAGGCCTCTGGGCCTGGCAGGGGCCGAGAGGCTCCATGAGTCAGCAAAGTCCCCCACCCCCGCATGCCCACCCCGGCCTCACAGACAGGAGCAGGTGTGTGCTGGGAAGGCCCGGGAGGAGTCACAGGGGCTGCACAAGCCAAACCTGAACCGCCTGAGAGTTCCAGGTTGGAACCCTCACTGGCAGCCAGGAAGCCAGCCTGGAGGAGGCAGCAGCTACCCTAGGTCCCACAGTGAGGATGGGGCAGGGCTGACCCCTCAAAACAGTGTCAGCATCCCAGCCATCATCCAAGGGGCCTAGCCTAGCCGCAGGCCCACCACTTTGGCCGGGAGGGCTTAGGGCAGAGCAGCCCCGGGGCCCAGGCTAAGGGGACACCAAGGGTACCGGAAGAGCCAGCCCGATGGCAGGAGGGGTCTCTGCACCTCTGCAAGTGTGGAGAGGCTCCTTCTTGTGCCTGCAGAGGCCTCAGATCCCAGCACTGGCAACCTTTCTTTGCCCTAGAGGCACGCAGTCCCAGCAGGGGACAGAATGGGGCCCAGGACATTGAGGCCGGGGCCAGGAGATGGGCCAGAGGCCCTTCTAGGGAGGGCACACATGGCTTTCCCTGAGCATGGGCTGTGAAGGAGCCTAGAGGAAGCATCTCTGAGTTGGGGGAAGGCCAGGGACAGGGCCTCCAGTAAGGGGCGACAGGAGGGGGCGGGGGAGAGGAAGCAGGAGCAGGCCATGGGCTCCCTCCCAGGAATCTTACCCTTCGGGTGAGCAGCCAGGGTGTCCCTGGTAAGGCAGACCTTCCCGATAACGTCGTCCCGACTGGAGGATGGAGAGGGGGCCAGAGCTGGGCAGGGCTCCGAAGGGAGCCTGGGACCTCCCGCCCCCACCGCCCCCCCGCCCAGTTCAGGGGCCCTGTGGGAAGCAGGGAGGCTGACACTCCAGTCATTTGCAGGAGCCGATCAGAGCAGGACCCGTGACCCTCCTGCGGGCCCTGCATTCTGGACACGCTCACGGGCATGTGCTAGGTTGCTACACGTGGACAGACACACGGGCTCACATATATGCCAAGTTTGTCCTGGGTTCCCTAGCTCGCGCGCCCCCACGCACAGCCCAGCACACCTGTGCCTTTACTCCCGCACGTGCACAAGGGTGATGTGGTGTGAGCGGTGTGAACACCTCCGCCCCCGTAGACCCCTGCTTGCTCAGACCCTCCCAGGGCTCCCCGCCGCTCCAGGCCACAAAGAGGACACAAAGTGACCGGCAGGCCCGGCAGGCCCAGCAGGCCCAGCAATGACATGGGCTAGGGGGTCAGCTGGCGGGGTCAGCTGGCAGGGTCAGGGCCCCATTTGAAGGGTGGGGCCCACCCACCTGAGGGCATCCTCATCCATGACGTAGAAGGCCACCGCATGGAAGGTGGGAGGCAGGTGCACCTGATACTCCTCGCCCCAGAATGGACACAGGGTCTTCCACACAGTGGCTGTCCTACAGCAAAGGACCCTCAGTGCCTGGCCGGGCCACCCGCAGGCCCCAGGCCCACCCACGGGATTTGACGATTCTCCTGGTCCTCGACCCCACTGCCCACCATCAGCCGTTCCCTCCTGACAGTCCTCTCTGCCCTGGGTGGGGCACAGGGCTGCATCTAGCAGGCCATTTTCCATTTGGGGAAACTGAGACCACAGGGGGCCATAGCTAGCCTCAGGCCACATGAACAGGACGGTGGCAGAGCCTGACCCAGAGCGGTGTTACGTGGCCAGACCCAGGACAGAGCCTTCAGCCCAGGGGACTCAGCAGGGAATGCTGGGGGCTGGGGAGCCGAAACCCCCAAGGCGGGCCAAGGACGAAAGCTCAAATGATCACCTTGACCCCAAGCACTTCTCCGACAGGCGACTTGAACGCTGGGGCCTCAGTTTCCCTGTCTGTCATAGAGACAATCAGAGCCATCCTGCCCGCCCCCCTTCTTGGTATCTTGGTTTGGACAAAATGTGGAAGAAGGACCTGGGGTCCTATTTGCAAGGGGGAAGAACCACGAGCCCGACAGCCTTGGCTGGCCGTCAGCAACGGGCATTCCGGTGGGCAGAACTGCGGGGCAGCTCTGGTCATGAAGTTCAAGGTCGAGGCCAGAGACACAAAAGGAACGGGACCTCGAAGAGCCTGCCCAGAATCGTGGAGCCCAGGGACAAAAGCACATCCAGGGAAAGTGGCCCTTCTGGGTACAGGCTGGGGCCCCCTTGCCTGAAGCAGCCTTTCCGGGGTATAACCATGGTGGGCATCTCTCAGGGCACAGGAAACCCGAGGGAAAGCCAGGATAAGAGAGGGGGACGAGGCTCGGGCTTTGGGGTCAGCCAGATTTGGGCTCCAGTCTGACTTGCCCTGAGCAAGTTACCCTCTCTCAGTCCCCGGGTTCCTCCTCCTCTGTAAATGCAACTTAATAATATCACATCGAGCTCCTTGCAAGTTATGAATGGGCAGACAAAAGGTTCAGCACAGGGCCCGGCGGACCGCACTCCAGAAGTCACAGCCGCTGTTACTAATCATCATCCTGTCCCTTCCGAGGGCCGTAAAGATCACAGAAAGGAACAGCGCTGGCGAGAAGCCCTTGGATCCAACCCCTGGATGGGCGTTCAGGTCAGTAATCAGCAGGAAGAGTCAGAGGTGGGTTTTCTCACCTCCCAGCAGGTGCGTCAGGGCAGGGGAGCCGGCCTGGGGATCGGCTGCTCTCGGAGCCCGCCCCCTCCCCTACCGGGGTGTGAGCGGGAAGCGTGGGGAGGAGCAGGTGCTGGGTAGCGGGGGCCGTACCGGATGATGGGCTCATTGTCCACCTTCACGATGCAGTAGGGGTCACTGCTGCCAGTGCTGCAAGACACAAGAGCAGGGCAGGGCTGGCCGGCAGCGGCGGCAGGTGGGGAGAGGGTAGGAGCGCCCAGGGGCTCCCAGGCAGCTCGGCCCTTGGTGACCCCAGGGAAAGGACAATCAAGTCTGAGGCAAGGGGAGCCTGGGCTGGGGTCCAACGGCTCAAAACGTGTACCCCGTGCCCCCCATCTGTCTGGGAGGCTGGTGGTGAGCAAAAGGCAGGAACCTGCGTGAGGCTCCCTGCACCAGGGGAGCAAGGGCTTGAGGCCACGCCTGCTCCTGCAGGGGGATAAGGACGCTCCTGCCGGCCACCCCTTCCCCCACACACCCTGCTCTGCCCCAAGGAGGACAGAAACAGCCCCAGGCCAGGTCCAGAAACCCCATCCCCAACACCCAAGTGGGCGCCTTGTTCTCTCTCCCTGGAGTCCTTGCTCCTGCTGCCCGCCCCCCCCTCCCCCTGCAAGCCTTGGCCCCGGCCTCTCAGAGCCCGGCCCCGCCCCAGAGGCAGGGAGTAAGGTCTCCTCTGCAGGCCCAGTGCCTGCAAACTCTGTCTTTCCCTCCATCCCAGGACTGCTAGCGATGCACTGTCCTCAGCTGCCACCACCGTCCCCACACCACCTGAGGGAGGGGCCGCTTCTGTGTCTCCAGGGTCTAGGACAGGGCACAAGACAGGGGGTCCGGGGGTGTTTGCTGGATAAATGAACAAATTTAACAGGCTGGCCTCGAGCTCTTGGCCATCTGGGAAAGAAGGAAAAGGAAGACGAACCTGGGACTGCTCAGGTGCTCTGGTCTCCCTGGTCTCGGTTGGTAGGGAGTTCCTGGGGTGGGTTGGGGGGCACTCCCAGCCAGGCCTAGGGCTGGTCCCAGGCAAGAGAGGAGGTAAGGACTGTTTCCAGGAGTGCCTTTCAGACTGTGTCCATAAAAAGGAAATGACTTGCATGTGGGAGGCTGGGGAATTCCAAGCTCCACTTCTCATCTCAAAAGGGGTTCTTCCTACAGAGGAAGCCCTGATCTCTGAAGGTCCTCCCGATGCTGACCGGAAACTGACCTGACTGGAAACTGACCAGAAACGTCTGCCAGGACTCAGTTCCCCACACAGAGCAGTGGGGCGCGGAATGACCACCCACAGGGTGGCTGCCCCAGGTGCCCGGTCTGACGGGAGGGCCCGCCCATGACAGGTGTTCAATAAATGTTCGCATGGCCCTAGACTCCCTGCTCTTCTGCCTGCCACCCCTTTCCCTGTCACTTAGGAGCCCTCTCCTCCAGAGAGCCCCTTGGGAACACCTCAGCTTGCATCCCACCCCCCCCCCAAATCTGGGGGACTCCGGACCTCCAGCAATCAGGCCCCTGTGCACTCCCAGAGCTGGGCTGGGTAGCAGGCCCCAGCAGCTGCATGCATATTTGCACAAGGAACTGGGAAGGAGAAAGATGTCCGTGTGCTCTGAAAAGTGGTGGGGTGGGGGTGGGGGACAGGCCTCCTCTACCCTGCCTCTGCCTCCTGGGATGGCACCCCTGTGAGCCCAACTTTGCCCACGGTGCAGCTCTCACTCAATGAATGAATCTCTGAATGAACTGTGAGGTTTGGGCTTTGGGTTCGGGGCCAGGTCACGGGGTGGGCAAAGGCCCAGAGGCAGGAACAGACCTGGGTGTGCAGGGGCTATGAGAAGCTGGGTGGCTGGATCAGAGCCGGGCAAAGGGGACAGTGTCAGGAGCAGGCTGAGGACAGAGGCCCACCCATGATCCCCGGCCAGCTGTTGGGACCTGTGCCCCTGCCTAGTGCCCTCTGTCCTGATGAGGCCCTGGGACTGGTCCCCTGCCCCACTTCCCCTTCCCCTTCCCCAAGCCACTTGGGGAAGCCAGCCTGGCTACTTGCAAGTCCTCTATATTTAGCCCCTTGGCAGTTTCCAGGCTGTGGAAGGGAAGGATCAGGGTAAACCCTGAAATAGTCCTGGGCCGGTCCCCAGGGCCACTGGGCGTGGGAGCCAGTCGGTCACCAGTCATTATGAGACTTAGCTCCTGTCTGGCTGATCCAGGCACGCAAGGATGGGAGACAGTGGATGGCAATAGAACGGGAACAGGTGGGCTCTGAAAACGGTCAGTGACAGGGAGCACAGCTGTGCTCTGTGCCCTTAAGAGAACTAAAAGCCCATGAGTGGAAATGGCAGCTGTGATGATGTGTCCCTCCTCAGAACTGTCTCTGTTGAGATGAGTCACTATGAAAGGTGGTGAGCTCCCCGTCCTCAGAGGTGTGCAAGTCCTGGCTGGAAGGGAGGCTGCTCAGGAGACAGGATGATGAGGCACAGTGAGGCAGGCCCACCCCCTTCCCAGCCTCTGCCCCTTCCCAGCCTCCGGCACCCAGTGATGGCCTCCTGGGGTCTCTGAACCCCTGCTGTCCCTGAGCCAAGTGGTTTGCATGGCATTTGCAAGGCTCAGTCCCCACTGAAGCCCATGGTAAGGCTGCAGCCTCGGCCCAGCTAGGATTCTCGGCCTGTCAGCAGCAGAAAGAGTGGGTTTGAATCCCAGCTTCTCTCCCTAAACGCTATGTGGCCTTGGCAAGGGACTTACCCACCCCGAGCCTCAGTTTCCCCTTCTGCAAACTGAGCATATCTACCTTCTAGAACTAATACAAGGATTGAATGGAAGGGTCCTCCACAACCCTTAGTCTCCTCTGCCACAAGCCAGGAGCCCCCCCTAGGGCTCCTGGAATGCCAAGACGAATGAGTCACGGTCCCTATCCTTCATGGTCACACAGCATGGCAGGGACTGCTACCAAGAGCATCCTCCTGACTCCGGAGGGCACAAGACGGGGCACGAGAACCAGTGCTGCTGGAGGCACCAGGGAAAACCCTGGAACACAGCCTAAGTTTGAGAGGGGTCCTGAAGGATGAACAGGAGTTTTCTGGAGGACTCCGAGTGGGAATGTCTGAAGACAGAAGCCCCTTAAACCTGTGCAAAGGCAGGGCTTCGAATGTGGGGGGTTGGGGGGGAGTTACAGCTGGATTTAGGAACCAGGTGACAGGAAGCCCTCTGACCAGAGGCTTCAGGAGGTGACAGAGGTCAGCAGGCAGGGGGCCAGGCCATGAAAGGCTAAACCAACAGGACTTAGTGGCGACCCCCCAGGGATGGAGCTCCAGGATCCCCGGGCTGGGCAGAGGCAGGGCTGGGCCGAGAACCTGGCACCTTGGCTCCCAGGGAGACCCAGGCCTTGGCTTCACTGCCCCGGGGCTGGGGAAAGCCTAGAGCCAGGCACTAGGGCCTGCGGGGATGGGGAGGGAGGCGACAGACGGAGGGGCTGCTCCTCCCAGCAGCCACCAGCCAGAGGAGGCCAAGCTGACCTAGTTAGCAGTGCCAGCCTGGGGGGGGCTGCTTAGAGGCTGGGCCGGGAGTCTGAGACCCTCCTCAGAGCTCATCCTCCTGGCTCTCCCGGGAGACCGCATTCCCAGCGTCCACCCCACCTAGCCCCTAGACGAGAAACCCACCAGGAGACGGCCTGCCCAGCCCCCTCCCTTACCCATTGCCATAGCAACTGCTGAGCCTGGCCTCACCAGGCCCAGGGGGCCTTGAACTAGAACTGCTCAAGGCGCTGAGTGAGCAGGCTAACTCACAAGGGGCCACTGTCCGGGTGCGAGAGACGCCCTCGCCCCGGCCTCCTGCACCCCTCCCCATTCGCCACCTCTTGGCATCCAGGAGCCGGCTGAGAAGCCCTGGGCCGGCAGGGGAAGGGCGTGGGGGGGGCATTCCAGACAGTGAACTTTGGACCCTATGCAGCCTCTGGGCTCCCCTTCCCCCATTCCCTGCTCCAGGGGGCCAGTTCACCTAGAGTCTTTTTTTTGGTTTTTTTTTTTTTTTTTTTTTTTTTTTTTAAGGATTTCAGGGGCATCTGGGTGGCTCAGTCGTTAAGCGTCTGTCTTGTCTTCGGCTCAGGTCGTGATCCCAGGGTGCTGGGATCAAGCCCCACATCAAGCTCCACATCAAGCCCCGCATTGGGCTCCCTACTCAGCTGGAAATCTGCTTCTCTCTCTCCCACTCCCCCTGCTTGTGTTCCCTCTCTCGCTGTGTCTCTGTCAAATAAATTAATAAAATCTTTTTAAATAAATAAATAAATAAGATTTCATTTTTAAGTAATCTCTACACCCAACTTAGGGCTCTAACTCACAACCCCGTGACCAAGAGTCCCATGCTCTACCAACTGAGCCAGCCAACATCCCTGTGCTTAAGGGATTTTGACCTCCAGTCTACAGAAAGGGAAACTGAGGCTTCAGAGCTAAGATGGGGAACCTCAGCTCTGGGACTACTGAGAAAGGCACTGGGACAAGGGGCTTGGGAAACCTCCTCAAATCTGGCCAGGGACCAGGGAATGCTCTAGATGTTGGCGGGCGTTAGGAGCTCTGGACCCAAGCCCTTCCTCTGCCATTTGGAGCCGGCATTTTCAGGTCTCCCAGCCTCGGTTTCCTTATCTGTAAAATGGAATGATGAGAACTGCCTTGCTAAGTCCTTGTGAGGAGGTAAAGCCACCGCAGGGCTCAGATAAAGCCCAGGGCACAAGGAACAGCTGCTCCCTGGCCACCCCATCTTTGCACGGTCCCAGCCTCCTGACCTACCGGTTCACCCTTCACTCCGGCGCACAGCTGGAAGCCCCGGGACAGGCCCGGCCCCCCGGGGCTTTTTTCAGGTGCACACTCTCGGGTCCTAAGGTTCCGGAACTACCGAGGAAGACCCCTCGTTTCCCAGGGGCACCCCCACCCCCTCCAGCCACACCCCCGCAGTTCACGGAGACATCTCCCTGTGAGGTGCCCCCCACGCTCAGTCCCTGTCCTATTAAAGCCCCTTCCCTTCTTGAGCGCCGTTCGCTAGTTCCCTGCTAGCTCAGGCCCCTTACTGACCCCCCGTCCCCTCCCCCGTCCACGGACCTTCCTTGTCCCCCCGCCCCACCCCCGCCCCGTGCTCGCAACAAATCTTACCGTCCCCATTCCCTTCCAGTCCCCCACGGCGGCCACACTCGCCACACCCTCGCCGCTGCTCCACTTGCGGGCGGGCCGTGTGGACCCTAGAAAGGTGAGGCTTAAGGAAGGGGCAGTGCCCCTCCCCAAAAAGTTGGGGCCCCCACCCCCGGCAGCGCTCACATGTCCTTGGCGGGCAGGTTCTTCCCCTCCACGATGCGGATGGACAGCGAGCTGCGCTTGGCCATCGCGGGTCCGCGACGCGGGGTCGGCGCCCGAGGGAGCCGGACCGCAGGGTCGCGTGCAGCCGGCGGGCAGGCGGGCGCGGGACTGGGCGCCGCGGGGGGCGGGCCGCGCAGGGCTCGGGAGGTAAGCGCGGGGGCGGGGGAATCTCTTCCACTTCATTCACCCCCGCCCCCGCCCCACGTGCGGGGGCCTCAGCGCCGGGGCCCGCCAATGGGCGGCCGGAGCCCCCCGGGTGGGCGGGGCCGGATCGGGTCAGGGCGCTCATTGGCCGCCTGGGGGTAGGGGCGGGGCCTGCGCCCAGGGCTGTTACCCTGCTGGCTCGCCGCGGGCTGGTGGTCACAGTGGGGTGAGGGCGCGACGGTCGGCGCTCGGGTGGCCTGTGCCGCCAGTACGCGTGGGCGGCAGGCGTGGTCCCAGAGTGCCAGTCTCCAGGTGCACGGGGGCTATGGGCCCTAGTATGTGCTCAGAGGCGTGGGCAAGTGCGGGGACACGCGGGCCGGGGACGCGCACGGCGGACCGCCCTGGCCACCTGAGTCTGGCGCGTGGGACACCCTGCTTAGGTGTAAGATGAATGAATGCACAATCGGACGCACTTAGCAAACAGTATGTCTGTTTGTGTTAGAGCCACCTGGACCCAGAAGGAGGCATCGAGAGCCAGGGCAGTTCAGAGCTTTGGGGACCACGCTTTTGAGTCTGAAAGATCAGGTTTATTTTTGGGAACCTAACCCGGAGGAGGAGGGGGCTTTCTCAGTTGTCACCTCACTTAGGCCTCCTGCCTTCCCAGCAGTGGGAATTTGGATGAGGCGCTCAGGTTCACAGAGGGAAAATCACTTGCTAGAGGTCACGCGTTTTGCGGGATCAGAGCTAGGCTTGGCCTCCCTGCTACTCCATGAGCACCGGCCTTTCCGTGAGGGGCACCATCCTTCTCCCAGACTCAGTGTCCAGAGCTGGGTTTCTAGGAGCAACCCCTTCGTGGTTTTCTCCCAAATGGAGAGGTCACAGTCCTGAGGCCAGCCCAGCCACAGCTGGCCCTAGGCATCTGTCTGCCCCGGAAGGCACTGCCCCAAACATCACTGCACACTTGGGTCCCAGACCCAGCTTCACCACTCCCTTGCCAGTCACTGACTCTGAGTGGCTTTCTGATCTTCTATGAGCTGAATTCATTTCATCACCCGCGAAGAGGGAGCAGTGGCACCTGCCATTGACATCCAGGAAACACTGTATGTGTGGGTGCCTAGCACCCGTTCTATTTTTCTCTTACTTTCTGTTTTCTTTTCCTGTTTTGTTATGTATACAACACATGCACACTTGGCTAAATGCAAAAGATATTAAATGTTTACAATGTTTTCAATAGTTACTTTAAAAAAAAAGTGTGCCTGGCTGGCTCAGCATGTGACTCTTGGTCTGGGGATTGTGAGTTGGAGCTCCACCTTAGGTTTTTTGGGTTTTTTTGTTTTTTTTTTTTTAGATTTTATTTATTTATTTGACAAAGACACAGCAAGAGAGGGAACACAAGCAGGGGGAGTGGGACAGGGAGAAGCGGGCTTCCCGCCAAGCAGGGAGCCTGCTGCGGGGCTCGATCCCAGGATGCTGGGATCATGACCTGAGCTGAAGGCAGATGCTTAATGACTGAGCCACCTAGGCACCCCTAGAGGTTACTTTTAAAAGATGCTTTTGGGGGCGCCTGGGTGGCTCAGTCAGTTAAGCGTGTGCTTTCTGCTCAGGTCCTGATCCTGGGGTCTTGGGATTGATCCCTATATGGGGGGGGTCCCATGCTCAGTGGGGAGTCTGCTTCTCCCCCTCCCACTGGTCCCCACCCCCGGTTCGTGCACTCTCTCACTCTCTTTCAAATACGTAAAAAAATCTTAAAAAAAAAAATAGGGGCACCTGGGTGGTTCAGTTGGTTGGGCCTCCGACTCTTGGTTTCGGCTCAGGTCATAATCTCAGGGATGGTGGGATGGAGCCCCACGTGGGGCTCCCTGCTCAGTGGAGAGTCTGAGTGAGATTCTCTCCCTCTGCCACTGTCTCTGTCTTTCTCTCAAATGAATAAATCTTAAAAAAATAATAATAAATTTTTAAAAATTAAAGGATGCTTTCAGGGCGTTTGGCTGACTCAGTTGGTAAAGTACGCAACTCCTTTTTTTTTTTTTAAGATTTTATTTATTTATTTGAAAGACAAAGATCACAAGAAGGCAGAGAGGCAGGCAGAGAGAGAGGAGGAAGCAGGCTCCCCGCTGAGCAGAGAGCCCGATGTGGGGCTCGATCCCAGGACCCTGAGATCATGACCTGAGCCAAAGGCAGAGGATTAACCCACTGAGCCACCCAGGCACCCCAAGTATGCAATGCTTAATCTCAAGGTTGTGAGTTCAAGCCCCACACTGGGCACTAGAGCCTACTTTATATATATAATAAAAGTAAAAAGTAAATAAACGTTTTCAATGAAAAGTCAGTCTCTCGTCTCTCCCAGCCACACACATTCCCTCCCCCAAGGCACCCACATGCCCCGATTCCTTGCACAGCCTGCTGGAGACATTCTCTGACTACAAGGCGAGAGCAGACATATGTGTCTGCCTTTTACATGCAAATAATGGCTAACGGGTTCTGCTTACAGTTTCTCTTACTTTATCTTGGAAAGCCATACATATTTATACATTAAACAGATTCTCATTCTCTGCCAAACTGCCCCATTTTCCAGTGTGGGGATGCACCCCCATCCCTTCCACAGCTCTGCCGTGCGTGGATGGGCTGTTCCTTTCACCAGACAATAGCCTGGCTCACACATCATTTCGTATGTTAGCAGATGCAGCTAAGGATAAATTCCTAGAAGCGGAATCCCTGGGCCAGAAGATGTGCGTACGCGGGATGCAGATTTCTGGCCACGGTGGTGGTTCCGAGGACACAGGACCTCCAGGAGCGTGCCGGCTCCCCCTTGTTGTCCCCAGCATGCCCCGTTATCAATCTGTGATCTTCATCTGCATCATCCGTGGGAAAATTATGGTTTCTCAGGGTACCCAAGGCTATGTCTTCAGGTAGTTTATCAGGGACATCTTCAGTCTTCATGGTCACTGAGATTTGCTCCCCTCTGCCTTGTCATTCTTTAGGCGTGTTCCAACCCCAGGTCACCTGGAGAGTGAGAAGCAGCTTTGTTGGCTTCTTGGTAGATGGGGGTCTCACGCCCTTCCTCCCCCACACTGTGGGCTGTTATGGAGACCTGGTTGGTGAGTGGTGGACAATGGAGCTTCTGTCAAGTCTGATGTTTGGGGGCTACTGCAGGCTGATCTCTCCCCTACCCTGGAGACCCACACCCTCAAGCGGAGCCAGGGAAGCCCAGGCTGGGCTCTTTTGTCCATTTCAGGATCCAACCTTGTTTACCTCCAAAACTGGGGAGCTCACCTCCTCCCGAGGCAGCTCTGTCCATCTTCAAACTATTCCAGCTGTGAGCCAGGCCTGCCACCGCCCCCCACCCCACTAAGCTACCAGAGTGGACTTTTGGAGCCTAAACCATGGCTGTTCTCCCCAGAGCCTTCTGCCTACTCAGCTCCAAGCCAGGCTCCCTTCTCCTGCCATGAGTTCTAGATCCCACGCTGACCTGGTCATTGTCCCTAGAAAGCCTCCAGTTTGTCACAGGCCTTTCTGGAGTGTGGCTTCTGGAGAAGGGTTGAGCCTCCCTGCTGTGCTGTGCTGCACAAAGCAAACACGAACAGACCAAACCCTCCTTTTGTCTGGGCACTAGACCTTTAATGATGCCACCCACAACCCCCTTAGCTTTTTTGGGCCACGCTGCTCTGGTTTCTGGTTCCAAGCAACAGAAACCAGCTCTGACTAATTTAAACCGAAAGGGATTCTTTAGAAGGCTATGGAGTGTGTCACAGATTCTCTGGGAGGACAAGAACCAGGCCCAAAGGTTGTACCCAGCCAAGAACAACGTCTCAAAGCAAATGCCAAAAGTGGCTTTGTCAGGACACCCCCGGCGCTGGCCCTAACCACAGACCCCTTATTTCGGCCGACACTGGATGCCAGGGTGTTGCTGTCACAAGTACCTCTCTGTGGCATCCCCCCCACTGCCCTGCCCCATCAATGCAGGGTGAGAAGGCCAGTGACAGCGCCATCAGCACCTGCGCTGGGAGGGACCTACCTCAGAAGATGGGGCAGGGGAGAGGGAGGACAGCCCTGGATAGAGGAAGGGGGTTCAGGTGCCGTCACCCCCTTTTCCCTGAGCTTCCCATGGCATCTCGGGAGGGGAGGCTTGGCATCCAGCAGTGAGCCCCACTTTGCAGGAAGGCAGAGGCTCTGTGGGGGCTGCAGCTGGCTGGCCTCGTGCTCTGCCTTCCCCCTGCCATTCTGCCCCCCTCCCCACCTACGGTCCCTGCCGCAGACACATGAGCACTCCCCCCACCCCCCAGCCACCACTGTCTCGGCCTTGGCCATGCACCCTGGGAGCACTGCCGCTGAGCACTGAGACTCCCCAGGAAGAACACGGTCAACAGAGAGGATTCAGCCAGGGAGGCCAGCAAGCTGTCATTGTGTTCCCAGAAATCAGTCTCTGGGGAGGGGTGAGTCAGAGTCAGGGCCATGAGGGGTGCCCAGCCCTGGCTCCACCACCCCAGGGTCCAGACCCTTCCTCTGTGGAGGACGGCAGAGCAGACCCCTTTACGGGGCCCTTGTTTCCTATGCTCCTTGTTCATTTGGTCCTTTACTCAGCCACCTGCTTATGGACTCAGCACTCATTGAGCACCTGCTGTGTGCAAGGCCCTGGTCCCTGCCCTCAAGGGGTTCACAGTCAAAGGAAAGAAATGTGCATAGAGGGGTGGGTAAGTGCTAGAGCACGAATGGGGAGTATGGAGGGGGAGGTGTGCTCAGGAGACCTCACAGAGAAAGTGGCATTTGAGCTGGGTCAGGGAGGACCGGAAGGCGTGTCCGCTATGTGGTCGCAGGTGGGAAGGCAACACTCTCCATGCGGGGAGCAGCCTGAGCCCAGGTGGGGAGGTGTGATGAAGCCTGGAATGTTCTGGAAACATCCAAGAGGGCAGAGTAGGAAGCGAGGGTCCAGGAGACTGGGAAAGCAGATAGGAAGTGGCTGGTGGAGGGCCTCAACTGTGGGGAGA